AGCCAGACATCCTGGAGAGCGAAGTCAAGTGGGCCTTAGAAAGCATGGCTAACAACAAGACCAGTGGAGATGATGGCATTCCAGTTGAACTATTTAAAATCTTGAAAGATGATGCTGTTAAGGTGCTGCACTCAATATGCCAGCAAGTTTGGAAAACTCAACAGTGGCCAAAGGATTGGAAAAGATCAGTCTGCTAACCAATCCCAAAGAAGGGCAGTGTCAAAGAATGCTCCAGCTACTGTACAATTGCACTCATTTCACACGCTAGCAAGGTTATGCTCAAAATCCTACAAGGTGAGCTTCAGCCATATGTGGACCAAGAACCCCCAGAAGTAGAAGCTGGATTTCGAAGGGGCAGAGGAACTGGAGACCAAATTGCTAACATGTGCTGCATTATGGACAAAGCCAGAGAGTTCCAGAAAAACATCTACTTCTGCTTCATTGACTATGCAAAAGCCTTTGACTGTGTGGACCACAGCAAACTATAGCAACTTTAAAGAAATGGGAGTGCCTGACCACCTTATCTATCTCCTGAAAAATTGTGACAGCAGCCACGAAATTAAAAGACGCCTGCTTCTTTGAAGGAAAGCGACAACAAACCTAGATAGCATCTTAAAACGCAGAGACATCACTTTGCCGACAAAGGTACACATAGTCCAAATTATGGTTTTTCCAGTAGCAATGTATGGAAGTGAGAGCTGGACCATAAAGAAGGCTGACCGCTGAAGAATTGATGCTTTTGAATTGTGGTGCTGGAGGAGACTCTTGAGAGTCCCCTGGACTGCAAGGAGAACAAACCTATCCATTCTGAAGAATATCAACCCTGAGTGCTCACTGGAAGGACAGATCCTGAAGCTGAGGCTTTAATACTTTGGCCATCTCATGAGAAGAGAAGACTCCCTGGCAAAGACCCTGATGTTGGGAAAGTGTGAAGGGAAGAGGAGAAGGGGATGACAGAGGATGAGATGGTTGGACAGTGTCACTGAAGCTACCAATTTGAATTTGACCAAACTCCAGGAGGCAGTGGGAGACAGGAGGGCCTGGTGTGCTCTGGTCCATGGGGTCACCAAGAGTCGGACATGACTTAATGACTACACAACAGCAAAACATCTTATTGAGGTTTCCTGGAAAAAATGTGTAGCCAATAATAAGCAACCATCTGATGTATGAAGAACAGCTTTAACATCAGAATATTTATAATTCTGTAGACGCTTTCCCAAATAGGCCACATTTAAAGAACCTTCCCATCAGGGATGTTTTTGTGTGGAAACTCTCTGCATAATGGCTCCAGTTCACACAGAGAACATAGCTAAACATTAGGAGTGCTGACTGGGAACTTGGCATGGAGATTTTCTTCCCTCACAGTGATTATAATGTTTAGTCCTGCTGCTGTGGCAGCGTCTGAAAAGACATGGAAGAGGCTTGGCAAACACTGGCTAATTTCTATAGACAGGAAAGAGAATAGGATGCCAGAGTCGCTTTCATATTAACAATGTGCTTTCTCTGTTGCAACTAAGTGCCTCCTGGCCAAGAAATGTAGCTAATTCCTGATTCTGAAAATCCTCTGAGGTGCTCAATTAAACACAGTAGAGTAATGTGATAGGTTTTATTTATCCAGCAAACTACTGAGTGCCCTCATCTCCCAATAGAATCGTCAAGGATTAGGGTTCTTTGACATTTCACAGGCTCAGACTATAACACAGCACCACATTATTTTGTAAGCACACTGTTAACAACCTGTTTTTGAAAGATACTTACTGTTTTTCACATTTTGGAATATTTTCAAGCTCTGCAAAAAAGAGTGGAAAGAAAATGAGAGAAAGTGTGTCCTCTGTTGAAAAAGGTACTGGTTTGTAAAGCATCCTCAAGGTCTCGGCATGCTCAGGGTTTGACTGACTGACACATTTGGAACTGTGGAAGAATTCCCTCCCACGCCAGACTGCCTGGTAACCCAGTGGGTGGGTGTTTCATCTTATGTGTTATAGATTTCACCTTTCTTCCAGTGAGTTATCCCACTAACATAAAGAGATGGGAAATGCTTCTTTTACATGACTGTTGTTTTTATTGTTATTTAGTCCTCCTCCCCCCCAAAAAAGATCTCCCTCTCTGCAACCTGTTTTAGAGACACAATAAGACTTCCATTTAATTTGTAAACTGTGATGGAGCTTGAACAGACTGATTCAAGGATCCCACTCCTTCTCTCCCTCTCCCGAACAGCAGATTGCAGAAGCAAAAACTGACCCTCCACTTGGCCAGTTCTGTTCCACTCAGAAAAATACAGGAAAAGGTGTATTCCAAAGAGGGACAGGTTTGTTGACCCCCTGCAATTAAGGTTATGCCTGCCACACTGTTTTTACATTCAGACTTCAAATAATGCCAGTAAGTCTGCAGTTGCACGAAACTGACAACTGAAGCAAAGTGTAAGGTCCTCACAGTTGATTACACATTTACTTTATTTTTCCGTTTATAAGACAATCCCACCTTTTCTAACCCCCGATTAGAAAAAGCAGGGATCAAAGGGCTCCCTTTTTGCTAAGCCTTATGCCTTGGTAAAACGCAAGGAAAGTGGCTGTCAAAGTGACTGCCTCTTTTCCTTGCCTTTTGAGACTGCACGGAGCTTAGCAAAAAGGAAGGGAGCAATGCCTCCCCTTCCTTTTTGCTAAGCCCTGTGCCTTCACAAAAGGCAGTGGTAAAGATCTGCCTTCTGTGTATAAAATAACCCTCAATTTTTTCTCCAATTATTTAAGGGAAAAGTGTCATTTTATACACTAAAAAAGATGGTAATTACAAGGTGCATGGAGCAGTAGTTTCCTAACTGTTTCTCTTTCCTGCTTAGAGCCCCCTCCACTGCCAAGAATGAGATTTCTTCTATGCATTGTTTGTACCACTTAGGGCCTTTCCTGGAGAGAGAGGGGGAATGGTATGTGTTTGTTTTTGTTTAACGTGAGAGCAGTGTTGAGAGGAGAACTTAGCAGAGAGAAGTTAATAGTTAACTGTTATTGTGTTTTGAGCCCACTCAGAGTTACTTGAACTGTTCGTCCTTTCCAACCTTCCTCTCTCAGGACTACGCCCTGTGCAGAGGCACCACATTTCCTCCACATGGATGGAGAAGGCCGGGTCTTGTGGCAAATTTTAAAATTGAAAGACAAAATGAACTACTCTGGAGAGGGAAATAAACATTCCTCATTTAACAAGCAGCTACCACAAGGGAGAAAGGCCAGATAGATAGATAGATAGATAGATAGATAGATAGATAGATAGATAGATAGATAGATAGATAGATAGATAGATAGATAGATGATTTTTTGCTCCCAGTTTCCCTGTGATTGCAACAGGGAACAGGTCACTCCCACCTCTGCCTCAGGATGAAAAGGCTGTAAGACTGAAGACTCTGTATAATAGCACCCTCTGCTGCCCAAGAAGGGAACAGCTTGGCTTTCAATGCTTGTTACAATTCACTTTTTTTCTGGCATTGTCAAATACACTGCAGTCCTTTGCCTTTTTACTTATGTATCTTTGCAAACCATGTCATTTTCATTTGAGCACAGTGTCTGCTGCAAGCACTGCTGATTGAATTTTAATGCCAGTGAGCTGTTTTAGGATATTTTTTTTAATCTAAAAGGCGGAATAAAAATATAACAAATGCAGGTTTAGGAGCACTTGCAGCATGAGATAGTCTTTGTGGTAGCTTTTTATTTGAAAGACGGCATTTGGATTCTCTTGCTGAAGAAACACAGACCATGAGCAGTTAGCTACCAAAGAATCAAACTATTGAAGAATACAGGGAAAAAGACCAGTGTGGTATGTATTCCACCGATGGTCCTTCTAGTGGTATCTGGGTATGTGTGTGGAGAAAAGAAAGGATGCATGCATCATGAAACAGAAAAGGCATTGCTGAGAGAGACACACAGAAGGTTCAAAAGTGCATAAAATGTGTGCACGCTAGTTTATATGTATAGATGCAAATTGCAAAATGAGTACAATACATAGAAATATAATTTACAATGAAGACTGGTTGCCAGATGCTAATTGTTGGTAGACAGCTTCAAGGTCCTTACTCTTTTTTTAATGGGCCATCTGTCTCAAAATCATTTGGAATGTCAAGTAGAGGACAATCTTCTATGAAGTAGAAGACATGCCCCCCCCCCCTTTGAGAAGGACTGGCACTCATCACAACTGAAGTTACACATTCTAACCAGCGTATGTTTCTGACATGTGCAATCTCATGCCATAAGCATCCCAAAAGAAGTGCTGGTAGGTTTGAGAAGTTCATATTGGTGAAAGCTGCTGTTGAATACTCATTGTTCTTAGCTTTAAATATTGTCTTTTAATGATGTAAGCTGCCTTGGGTCCTTGTTAAGGAGAAATGCAAGGCAAAGAATTGTAAATAAATAAAGTAAATAATTTTTCTAGTGCAAAAACACTTTAAATTCTAGAGAACTACAGTTTCTTCCCCAAATGAAGTGCTATCTCGAGTAAAGACATCTGAATTCTCAGTATCTCTGAAACCCATATAATAACAAAGAAGGGGGAAATCCTGCTCCTCTACTCCTACAGAAGTCCGCACTGCTTGAATTCTCCCTGCTTTTTTTACCTTGCTCCTCCTAAAACATTTTGTGTCCTTTGATGACTTCTCTGTTGATTTCATTCCAGTGTCTCCAAGGCTCACAACATTGTTTATCACAGATGGCTGAGCTATAAAAACACAATACACAAAAGATTAACTAGAGAGGCACTTCAATGCATGAGAAAGTTAACATGCAGGAAAGCCATTCTCAGACAGCTCTACTCCCAAGTGTGTCTCTTCTAAATGTGTAGGACAGGATGTGAAAAGGACTCTCTTTATGTGCTCAGTAAAGAGTAAAACATTTTACTTATTTATATGTTTCAGGTTTCAACCCTGGAATTGAAAATGGGTTGTGATCCTAAGGCACGAGAAACGCTGGATCTGTCATGTCCAAATGTAGTGTTTATTTGTGCAATGGACCTCAGAGGGAGATCATTTTTATTTATTTATTTGATTTGTATCCTGCTCATCTGGTCTATACAACCACTCTAGGCGACTACTAAGATCAAGATGAACTAAGGCTCCAATGCATGCAGGATAAGACCAGACAAATCAGAACTCCTGAGATACGTTTGTGCTGAATTGCCAAAAGGATGACGCTTTCCAAACTTAGCAGAAATCAAAACCACAAGAAGAACTGTGTAACATTCAAGGCATTTATCCCACTGACCACCAATGGTCAGTTACCTTCCACCAACAGTAGCTGTGCCCTGTTGAACCTCTATTGTACAGGGGGAGACTATGAAGCACACAATTCACCCAAAGGGGCTTCCACTTGTGCAAGGAGATGCTGGACACTTCTCTTTGGAAACATTTAAACCAGGAGTGGAGAACCTGTAGCCTTCCACACATTGCAGGGCTCCCTAGTTCGATGAGCCCTAACTAACATGACCAATAATGATGGGTATTGCAGTCCATCAGCAACAGGATGCCCATATTTTCACCACTCATTCTTTATAGTGAGTCTGTTCACCAAACGGGACTGCATCCCTTCAGATATTGTAGGACTTTTATTCCTTTCTCTCCTAGGACCTCAAATGATCAGGGAGAGGGAAACTAGAATCCTACAATATCTGGAACACCCATGTTTAAAATATTCAGACCAGCACTGGGGACAGTTAACAAAAGAGCTGGCTGTGATTTGAAATTGCTCTGGTTGGCAGAAGGATCATTGGTCAATATGGTCTCTGACCAAACAAGTTTTGTAGGCAAAAGTATCTAATAAAAGTGGACAAAAAGCAATGAGTTAATATAGCGCAGGCGGTTAATGCTCTGTCATATTACATTCTCTAGTCCAGTAAGACCCCAAATATCTGTTCTTGAATAAAGTTTTTTTCCCATATTGCATTCCAAATTACCTTTCATACATTGCTCCAGGACAGTTCATTGTATAATTAATACTAATGCAGGTAGCATTGGAGGCTTTATGTGAAAGGGCCTTTGTCATTTTATTGGAACATTTCTTCAACATATGCATTCAGCACTGAGTTTAAGGATCTCACAAAACAAAGAATAACTCTAAAATATCAGAGAATGAATATGATTTTTAAGCAAAGCTTTCTTCTTCTTTAGCTATCTTGATTCTCATCCACCCCTTATCTATAGGATATTTTCAGAGTGAAATTTCTTTGAATTTCTCTTTGGATGTTTTCACTTTCTCTTCAAATAATAGTACCTTCTGAACACTAAAATCACACAAACACCTTGTGACAAGATAGCAAAACCCAGTGTACTTACATTCCTCATCTGCAAGAATAAATGACTCAGGAGTTCTTTCAGGCAGTGGGGGAGGGGAAGGTGATGGAGACCGATCTTGATGAATCTCTGTAATTATATGTGATTTTTAAAAAGGGAAAAAAACAAAACCATATTGGAAGCAAAACATCTCCATAACCCACTTTCCAAAATCCTGAGGCAAGGTAATAGACTAGATTTGACTGAATCTGTATTGTCCATAATATCTTTAACTTTTATAACAATGCACTGTCTTTCACAAGGAACATGTGTGCACTGGAAGTCCCCATGCTCAAATGAAAAATCTCTGAGAATACAGTATGTCTCAAGAATATATTAGGAGACTGGTATTTAAGAAAAACAGGGGTGGAGAAACTAATAGATCAATGTGATATTGTTCTATTGAGTTACCCCTAAGGGAAGTCAGGAGGGGACTCCAGCCCTGTTGAGCTTCCACTGAGCAGCCATATTGGTATTATTCTGAAGGCCATTAGCATTTAGCTTTTTAGGTTATTTTAAATTTGTTTTTCAATAATGTTTTTATCTATTTCATTGTACATTGTGTTAGGAGCCTTGATGGACAGAAAAGAAATTAAAATAATTCTACTTTTGGAACAATGCATGGTTAAAGTATCATTTAGTTCCTGACCAATGGATGTCTCCCACTGATGACAAAATCAAAGGATTAATATGAAATATAGGATACCATAAGGGCAGTATATATTCAGCTTTGTTGCAAATCAACTAACTTTCATTGCTGCACTGGCTAAATAATAGAAAGCTCAGGAAGATGTACCTGATCCGGGTCGCTGTAGTTTCAGACTCTGTGAATGAACAAAAAGAATACAGTTACCTTCTTTCAGTTCAATATGCATAAAACTTTCAGTTAATGGGTGCCGAACAATATAGGGATGTTAACTGCACCTGAATACGTATATGCTGCCTATCCTTGCACAAGAAACACTTCAGCAATAATGCCTGTTTCTGAGCTATATTATAGTAAAAACAAATGGGCAGAATTCATATGGAGATATTTATTTAGCAAGAACCACAGCATCCATATATAAAAGGGAGGTGCCAGTAGGCTTGAAAGAACCCCATTGTAGTGTTCCCCTTTCGTGTTTTAGTATGTTAATTGTTCATGCATATTCATGTTGCTGAGAGGCGGAGCAGAGAGAGATCTTATAAGAGATAGAGCCTGAGAGTCAGGGGGCAGTCAGAGAGTTGGAGTGGAGTGTGTGAGAGACAAGGAGTTAGAGTGTGGAGGGTGATTAAAGTTAGGAGCGTATTATTAAATAGAAGGTGGTGGTTAATAAAAAAATTTACTTAAAGAAGATATTCATGAATCAATTTCAATTTCTATAATCAATAAACAAAAGTTCTATTTAAAAGACCTTGAAGTGTGGACCTGAATCTTCATCTTCCTGAAGTAATGGTGATTTAGTGATCACCTGGTGGCAACAGTGTAAAAAAGGGGATTGTTTGCCTTCATGTGCTCTGAGTTTTGACAGTCAAGAAAGAGGCACGAGGGTGAATGCCACACACATGTTGCACCAAACTATAAAAAGTATTTGGAAAAGAAAATCTGGTGTTTGATGTGAGTGGAGTTCTCCCTTCTGCCAAAAAAAGAACCCATTGATGATGGAGCACATTCAATGGGCATGGAATGCTGACTGCTTTATTGATTTATTTACATTACTCTGTGTTACATCCTACCTTTCTTCCTTAAATGGCTCTTCTCATTCCACTTTATCCTTACAAGAACTGTGCAAGGCAAGTCTAGCTGAGAAAGTAAAAGCGGCCTAGGACCAGTGAGGAGATGGGAGTGGGGGATAAGAAGTGAAGAAAAGCAGATTCCTGACTGACTAAGTAGAAGCCCAAATGGCTAACTGAGGGTGCAAATATATATTTTTTAAAATGATGCAGGAAATGCTGCAGGATTGGGATGGTGTGATTCACATTATATCCTGTTGATTGCATGACATAAATGTCAGTGTGAACCACTGCGGAATTACACACCTCCCAATCCATAGGTTTTTTTCTTTCTCTACTGCTGGAACACCTTCTTTTTCGGAATAAAATGCCTTTGTATTAGTTCAGGCATGGTGACTGTTTGAGCCAATGCTTGACGCCATTGTATTTAAAGCCTTTCCACCCAACCACAGCAGCAGTAAGGGAGGGACGGCATTTGAATTCTCTCCTTCCACACATGGTGCCTGGGGCTGCCTTCATCTTCTCTTTCCATTGTCATCCATCCAGATGGTGCTAAGACAGCTGGATGACCAAAGGAAAAAAGTCGTGCGGACTTGGCAGAGAGACAGGAGAAAATTAAGATAGCTCTACTCTAACCATGCTTTCCTCAAATCTGGACAGACACAGCAGACCTACCTCAAAACCTCCTTATCTCCCACCCCAATTCCTGTCCTAGCACTGTCTTAATACTAGGACAGCAAGCCTTTGAAAGGGAGGGAGGAAGGGAAGGAAGATGAAAGCAGACAAGGTGTGAGGATGAGAGGATTCAAATAGTTAACACGCTGCAAATAAGTCTGATTTCCTCTCCTGTCTCTGTACTTGGATGTGATTAGCTAAAATGAATTAATCTGGTGAAGCTCCTCTGGTGTGACTTCACAGTGGATGTGGCAAGATTCTGTTCAAATCCATTGAAGTGTGCATGTATGCAGAATTTTGGTTTCCTAGATTCTTCCTATGGCCCAACTATACATTACAGATAACCTGACATTAAAAAAGAGAAATTGTGAAATGCAGATTATGTGTGATCCCATGATTTGCAAATTAGTTTGTCTTGTTTTGTGATCAATCAGGCCATAAGTACATTCTTCCTACGTGATTTCTCATATACAGAAGACTATCTCAGTCATATTTGTGAACACTAATGCTGGTGACAGCTTATATATAATGTAGACTTTGGCCCCTAGTTAGTAATTTCAGTCCCCACTGCATTTGAGGAACAAGGATACACATGAATAACTGCTGTAGTCATTATTGGAATTTGCTGGACATCTTTAAGACTTTTATCACCAACTGACTCATCCAAAATTAATGCAATCTGTTCTTTTAGAAATACTGTCTAAACCTCATATGCCGGGATATGGCCATAGTATTCAAAGCAATCCAGTGCTCAAAGCACCAGCTTTCATTTTTGCATGTCACAAGATGCATAAAGCAATATTTCTGGCAGGGATATATAAAGTTTCTAATAATTTACCTTATTTGGCCTCAATCTCACAGACTCATCAAAAAATTTCAGCTGAGACATGCTGCTCCATTCTTTAGAGATTCTGATTTTCTCATTCTTGAATGTCTGTTGGTTGCTGGAAGCTGCCAACAAAGGAGTATCTGCAAAAAAAGAGAGGAAAACTAGAAATCAAAACTGATTTCCACCCCAAAAACCAATCACTTTCTGGATAGCAGAAGTTTCTAAGCAATGAAAGATGGCTACAAGGTCCTCTGTGCAACTATATTCACTTAGCTGTTTGAGCTCACCCTCTTCTCCAGGTATAATAAATGATTCAGGGGTCCTTTTGGGCAATGGAGGAGGATTATCTTCATCCAGTTGAGGAGAACCTGCTAATTTAAAAGACTGGAAGTTAGCATCATCAGTTGCATACATTAATATCTATTGCTGCTGTGTGATATGTTGAAATTAAGTACAGATGTCTCTGGAAACTCCTTGAGGGACCAGCTACACTGAAAATTCTGGAAACATCACCATTTGGATGATGACACCCATAGTCCCCCAGGCTAGAAGATTTTGGCAGTTGTAGTCCAAACAAAGTGGTTTTCCAAAGCTCTGTAACATTTCAAATTATAGCTGTTCATTCTACTGCATTTGCTAATGAATGAGAGTTATGAAACACACTATACTACTTTATTCTGAATCAAACTGTTGGTGCATTCAAATCCATGCTTCTTCTTTTACCTGGCAGAATGTCTCCAAGGTCTCAAGAGAAAGTTGCTCTTTGCTATAAAACATGAGATCCTTTAAAACGGTGGTTGTAGGGACTGATCTTGGGACCTTCTCCATGGAAAGCAGGTACTCTGCTGAATCTGCTCTGGGTTTCAGTCTGAATGTTACAAGAGCTATCCATGGTGCTTTTTCATGGTCCCAAAATAGGTTCAGTACCTTGGATAGCTCCTGTAATGTTCAGATTAAAACCCAGACTAGATTCACTGGCCCCACAAATTTGAATTCAATTTCAGCACCAGCATCTTTTTACTGCTATATTTAAAAATAATGGGCAATCCATAAGAATCATGACCAAAATTTATCTCAGTAGTAGAAGAAAATGCATAGTTGTTCAAGACCGAAACCTATAACTCTATCTAGGAAAAACTTGCACTTTGCCACAAGCCTCTGATACTTTGATTAACATTGCTTGAAGGCACAAGTGAGGTGCACAGATTTGTGTTTTTGCACTACAACTCCCCAATTCCCTGGGGAATTTTGGGAGCTTTAATATGAAAACAGATTGACACACCTCTAATCAGCAGCATATCACAGAGAATGCTCACTTTTCAAAACATATGGATGCCAAAATAGATATACAGCCATTGGTGACACAGAATGTAACATGGCCACATACTGCCAAGTCAATTTCTACTTATGTTGACCCTTTCTAGAGTTTTCTAGGTAAAGAGTACTTAGGAGTGGTATATAATTCCCTTTGAACTGCTGGAGAGTTCAGTGGTTTAGGCGTCTGGTTGGGAGTTTGATTCCCCTCTGTGCTGCCTCTTTCACAGGGGCTGCTGACTAGCACTGGTTACTGTGAGGATATCTCTCCCTTTCTATAACAGTTTCTCTGGCTACCAGTCTGCTTCTGGGCTCAATAAAAAGTGCTGGTTATGACCTATAAAGCCCTATATGTCTTGGGTCCAGGATATCTGAAGGACCATATCACTCCATATAAACCTCCTTGGCGTTTAAGATCTTCTGGGGAGGCCCTTCTCTCACCATCCTTCCTGTCTCCTTTGGTGAGGATTTGAAAGAGGGCCTTCTCTGTGGCTGCTCCCAGACTGCAGAATGCCTTTCGGGAAGCTAGATCGGCCCCTTCTCTCCTGTCCTTCCACCATCTGGCTCCCTTTCAGGTAGGCTTTTAAGCAATAAAGGAGTTTTTTGGGGGGAATGCTGTATGATTGAATTTAGAGATCTTTACATTTTTTTAAATTTAGTGATGGTTTTAATACTGTTAGATGTTTTTAGTATAGTTCCTTATTTAAGTTTTAATGGTGATTATTGTGTAGTTTTAACTGATTGTGAACTGCCTTGGGTATCCTGTGGGAAGAAAGGCAACACATAACATAAATAAATAATTAAAATCAATAAAAAATGGAACAGAGAGGGTCAGAAGCAGTTGAAGCTTCACATGTAAAAAGCTGCTAGCTTTCCTTTTAAATTCTTCTTTCCACTACTAGCTAAGTTCAATTCTGCTCATCAGGTGATTTCTACTGAGATAACTAAGGCAACTGCATAGGCAAAGGGGTTTAAAAAGTATTCTGAATTCCTTCTGAAAGATGGGTCCCTTCAGGTATTTTTGAACTAAAGCTCCCATCAGCCCCAGGCAGCACAACCACTGATGGGTTGATGGGGGATGTAGTCCAGCACATGTGAGCAGGAAATCTAGACTGGGAATCATAACAAACTACAGCTCAGAAGAAGCTATTTTCTTAAGTATATTCTATATCATTCTAGAAGCTGGAGAGAAAAGATTTGGTTATCAAGAGCAGCCAAGAAATTAAGAAGTCCCTTTTTCATTTATAGGGGTTGCATCTAACGCTTCCCTTTTGCTTGTGGAAGAAACACATTCAATACGAAGAATACAAATTCTTCTCCCTGCTGAAGCTTTCTAAGCATTCTTGAAATATGCACCAAAAGGCTAGAAAACCCTCCAGGGCAGGTTTTTTTTTAAAGATAGCTCCAGGGCTGCAGAAGATAAAAGACTGAAAATCTTGACATTTCTACTATTGCCACATTAGATTTAGGTCCTTGGAATCAAATCACCCTCTCTTTTTACAGCCTTCCTTTTAATGGAACGTTGCCCACATAAAGAATCTCAGTTGCTATCTGAACAACTCATGAACTCATGAGCCGCCTAGAGTGGTCTGGTAGTCCAGATAGGCGGGGTATAAATCAAATAAATAATAATAATAATAACTTACTCTGGTGAGATGATACCATTGCATCCAAAAGGTGAGTATTCTGGGCCTGAGAGCTGTACAAAGAATGGTCCAGACTGGTGCTATCCAAAGACTGGTCTGTGAGATCCACAGCAGAGGAAACTGAGGAAACAGATTCAATTGGGCTCACAGCAGGGGCCGGAAGTGCTGGGGAACATGGCTCATCAGATGAGAGAGAAGAAAAGTAAGGATCTTCTGATGACCAAGTACATGGCTGATGGCGTAGCTTTCTGAAAATACAACGCCGAGTGTCAGTTGATAGGTTATGTGAAGAACTTGAGTCTAGAGCAAGACAGGATCCAGAGCCCTTTCCTGACAGCATTTCGGATGTTTTGTGCGATACTAATTCAAAAGGGATTGATTTAGTCCGTGCTAGAGGCAGCTTTGTGTCTAGGTTTATCCCAGTTTTATCCCCAGGTTTCAAAGGGAGAGATAGTTCTGTCCAAAAGAGATTTACAAAGTCCAAACTGTGATGTTTATGGAGCGTCTGCCTGGCCAACCAAGAGTTCCATTCTGCGGTGGCAGCCATGTTTCTGCTGGTGCTGGTGTTCAAGGGGCCAACAGAAAATGCTTGTCTCACTGGCGAAGCATTTTTTCTGGATTGGTCAAGTGTGTCCATGCCACACACACCATGACAAGAAAACTGAGACTTCTCTTCTTCCTCTCTCACTGAACTGCAACATAAAAAAATATGAATGAATGAATATTTTAATATGGTCAAAGACCAGTAACATAAACAATATGGTTTTCCTGTTTACTCCTCTTTGGGAAAGTCCTTTTCCATGCACTCATCATTCTTTATCATATTATAAAACATTCAAGAGGTGGGGTTTTGTTTAAAATCACTCAAAGGACAGATATATTCAGAATTTGGAAAGCTACTTTTGGATGGACTACAACCTCCCATCCAGCTTCACAAATTTTTGGAAAGCTACTTTTGGATGGACTACAAGGTCTAGAACCTCCCATCCAGCTTCACAAATTGTCATACTGGCTGGGAGATCCTGGGAGTTGAAGTCCAAGGAGATAACTTACCCAAGCTCTAGATAAACTGCTAGAAATGTTTCCATGTAGTATGCGATCAAAACAATCTGTGTTGACAACTGCTGCTGCTGTTGCTACACAAAGCCATTTTCAGCAACTGTCCCCTAGAATATTCACTGCTTTATAATTTACTAGGAACAATTATTACTACCAAATGATATAAAAATGAAAAGGTCCATTATTTTCTTGGAATGTTTTCTGTGCAGGTGGAAGAAGGTAGGCTTTCTGATTTCACAGAAACCTTAGCAAGCAAAAGGCAAAGGTTAACAATTCTGAGTTACTACAATTAGAGACAGAAGTTTCACCTCATATTTGGAAGAATGGGACACTAAAGAACTTCTTCAGCTACTGCTACTTTACTTCAAAAAATATATCTTCCAACTACATGTTAACTGGTATATAGAAAGGAGATCAGTGTACGTGGTGTCCTTCTGGAGCGCAACTCCCAAAGTGCTGCCTGGGGAATTCTCAGAGTTGTAATTAAAAATAAACACACAAGTCAGCACACTTCTAACAGAAACTCTGCAAACGTTCTCCAACCCTTCATTATGTTCCTCAGGGTTGACAGGTCCTATTCAGTCTACCCAAGGAGGGCTGCAATGCTTCAAGTTTCCTCTCATGACAACAGCTTTAATGCCATTTTCCTCTCACCGACTGTTGGTATTCAGAGGCTTAACTGCTTCTGAACTCGAAAATTTCATTTATCCAGCCACTCACAGACATCATCCTAAATGGAAATCTCTAAGGTAAAGTACAGTAGTCACGAAGGGTCAGGTGAAGAAGAGGCCAAAATAAATGATTTAATGTCTGTATCCAACTTTGCTTTCTGCAGAACTAGAAAGAAAACCTGGGTACAAGTTTACTAGCCAAAGCTTCATTTTAATTTGAACTCTCATTTTTCAGTAAAAGAAATAATATATGACCCATCGAGATCAGTAGGATTTACAATAAGAACTACATTCGGTGAAGTTCAGTGGGACTTACCTGAGAGTGTAGGGTTTCTGCGGCCTATGTGCCATGCTTAAAATGTGTGTGTCTTCTTACCTGCTTAGACGTTTGAGAGCCTGGGATGCTTGGGTTGCTCTTTGGTGTGTTTCACTCTAGAAAACAAACACAGGTACAGTTTTGTGGATTCCTGTGACTAGAACACTGGACTTCAACTTATGGGTCAGGAGCCTTGCCAATGGGCCAAGGACCCAAGGAGGGTTGCAACAGCAGCTGTTCTACTTTACAACCATAACGTTAAAATAAAAAAAATTGGGTCCATAAATACATGTTGTGTGGCTAAAGGTGAATGATTCCCAGGTAAAAATGGTTGGATCTGGAACAGAACATCCAGATTTCGTTAGATACAGATCTAGCCAGACCATGGACAATCATGGTGGGGAAAAAATAGAATAGTATTTGTAGTGAAAATACTATAAGATTAGTATCTGTATTTGTAGTGCAGAAGAGGGACACTGAACATTGAATAATCCTTTGCTGAAACCATGTTTTTAAAGCCATTAAATCTGGCTGCAGAGCCAGAGGTTGGAAGTCCAACTCCTGTTGAGTAGAGCCAGCATATGTGGCCTTCAGCAAGCTGCAGAGTCCGAGGATGCTATTTGTAGTGAAAATACTATAAGATTAGTATCTGTATTTGTAGTGCAGAAGAGGGACACTGAACATTGAATAATCCTTTGCTGAAACCACGTTTTTAAAGCCATTAAATCTGGCTGCAGAGCCAGAGGTTGGAAGTCCAACTCCTGTTGAGTAGAGCCAGCATATGTGGCCTTCAGCAAGCTGCAGAGTCCCAGGATGCCCCACAGAAGAAGCAAATAGTAAACCACTTCTAAGTATTCTGTACCTGGACAACCATGAAAAGGGTCACCATAATTCAGAATTGACTTGGTACATGATTATTATTAAAGTGGCCTCCTCAGGGAAATGTATTTCCTGGATGAGAATTTGGAAACAGTCTATAAGATAGCTAAAGTGGAAATGTATTAACTTCTCCTTCCTCACACATTTGTGGCTTTGGATCAGAGCCAGAGGAAACAGTTCCCTGGTCAGTCTATAAACTACCCCATCACTGCAACAAGTAGGTTCCTGCTTCAGTTGGTGTATTTTGGAAAAAATGAGGTCATGAATTTATATCGGGGATCTCCAAACAATGCTATTAATGGAAGATAACTTTTTAGGATAATGTAATAGCTTACTGTACAATTGCAGCCATTTCACACGCTAGCAAGGTTATGCTCAAAATCCTACAAGGTAGGCTTCAGCAGTATGTGGAATGAGAACTCCCAGAAGTACAAGCTGGATTTTGAAGGGGCAGAGGAACTCGAGACCAAATTGCTAACATGTGCTGAATTATGGAGAAAGCCAGAGACTTCCAGAAAAATATCTACTTCTGCTTCATTGACTATGCGAAAGCCTTTGACTGTGTGGACCACAGCAAACTATGGCAAGTTCTTAAAGAAATGGGAGTGCCTGACCACCTTATCTATCTCCTGAGAAATCTATATGTGGGACAGGAAGCAACAGTTAGAACTGGATATGGAACAACTGATTGGTTTAAAATTCAGAAAGGAGTATGACAAGGCTGTATATTGTCTCCCTGCTTATTTAACTTATATGCAGAATACATCATGCGGAAGGCTGGACTGGATGAATCCCAAGCCGGAATTAAGATTGCTGGAAGAAACATCAACAACCTCAGATATGCAGATGATACCTCTCTGGTGGCAGAAAGTGAGGACAAATTAAAGAACCTCTTAATGAGGGTGAAAGAGGAGACTGCAAAAAGTGGTCTAAAGCTCAACATTAAAAAAAAACCAAGATCATGGACACTGGTTCCGTCACCGCCAGGCAAATAGAAGGGGGAGATATGGAGACAATGACAGATTTTATTTCTTGGGCTCCATGATCACTGCAGATTTAAAATTAAAAGATACCTGCTTCTTGGGAGGAAAGCAATGATAAACCTAGACAGCATCTTAAAAAGCAGAGACATCACCTTGCCGACAAAGGTCCGCATAGTCAAAGCTATGGTTTTTCCAGTAGTGATGTATAGAGGTGAGAGCTGGACCATAAAGAAGGCTCACCACCGAAGAATTGATTCTTTTGAATTGTGGTGCTAGAGGAGACTCTTGAGAGTCCCCTGGACTGCAAAGAGATCAAACCTATCAATTCTAAAGGAAATCAACCCCGAGTGCTCACTGGAAGGACAGATCCTGAAGCTGAGGCTCCAATACTTTGGCCATCTCATGAGAACAGAAGACTCCCTGGAAATGACCCTGATGTTGGGAAAGTGTGAAGACAAGAGGAGAAGGGGACGACAGAGGATGAGATGGTTGGACAGTGTCACCGATGCTACCAACATGAATTTGACCAAACTCCGAGAGGCAGTGGAAGACAGGAGGGCCTAGCGTGCTCTGGTCCATGGGGTCATGAAGAGTCGGACATGACATAATGACTAAACAACAACAACAACAGCTTAAAGTGGTGTGCAGATCCTGCATCCTGCAGTATGGAGTAATATTGTTCACAACAGAAGACCTTTGTTCCATTCCCCTCCCACCCTTTTCCTGTCTTTCACGTCCTAACTACCAGGCAGAATACTTGGGTATCAATCACTTCCAATCCTCATTTTTGAGATTTTTGGGATTTCCTCTTTAGGTTTTTTCCACCTATCTGTTCTTGATTTTTTAAAAGTACTTCTGCAAACCCTGGCCACTGGTGTCTCTCTCGTATACATAGATTATGTCACCTTGCCTTTCTAATCAATAGTACTCACAGCGTGAACACAAAGAGGGAAATAGTGGGAAAGCAAAGTTTGAGCCTTCTACCCCATTGGGTTCCCTAGGTTTGTGTTTTACAGAATTAGGGTATGTTCAGCGTATCACAGTTCATCTGTTATGGGATGATAGATCGGCGTGTGTGTGTGCCTCAAACATCTTGCAAGATAGATCTCTGTCTGGGGCTTCATGTTATTATTCAGCCAAGCTAAACAGAAGGTCAGTTTGCTTTCAATAGTTTATCTGGAAAGTTTCTTCCTCTATGCCATTTTTGGTAAAGCATTTTTTGAAACCCCACTTTGACCTGAAAGCTGTAAGAGTAAATAGTCAAGATCTGTAAAACCACATCCTGGCTAAATGCTTTGTGCATAAACTTGGCCATACGTTTCTGCAAGACCACATAACTACCACAAAGCAAATGAAAAAGAAAGAGAACCGTGATCAAGCCAAACAGTAAGCATAAACGGAAGGGGTAAGTAGGCTAGGATGCTAATTAGAAGGTTCTAGTCTGAAGTCAGAGCAATGGCTTCATCCTAGGGTTTTCTTTCTCAATTAGCAGTTATCAGTATTGGAAAAGAAGGATCCTACAATACTGGAATTCCACAGTATCAAATCATGCAGTTATAAGACGATTTCATGAACCCTGAAAAATCCCAGTCCAGAAAATTTGTAAATGATTCCAAATGGTATGGTTACACGCACAAGTTGCACTGCATCAGCATGCCTGACATTCGTAATACCGAAGGGGACTATGCTCAGACCTATGTGGGTCATTTCTCATCTCAATTTCCTAGGTGTGAGAAGCATACATGCCAGTACCTCATGCAGACCATGGCAACTTATACTCCAAAAAAGCAAGGTTTCTTCTTACATTGAGGGAGCAACTAGACGGATATTTGTCCTGCTGTTTATGCCACATTTCTCACTATTTCTTCCAATATTTATATATTTATCCCATTAACCACACAACATTGCTGCTAATCATAAGTAGATCTAGTCTTCTGCAGGAGATGTGGAACAAAGACTTACCTCCATAGCAGTGGCATCAGAATTTCTGGAAAATTCTTCAAGCTGCCTTTTAAATAGCTCAATCACAGCATCATAGACCAATTTATACTGCTCCTGAAAGATGACCTCAGTGAATCACATGGAGATATGCCACTTTTACTTATTCATTTCTCTATTCCAGAGGCCTGGACAATCCAATATGTTAAAACTCTAATATGCTGGTGTCTAGCACATGAGCTAAAGGATACTGGTTGTACTTGAGGCCAATGTTGGGGATATTCATTTCATCATATCATAGGCATCCTTCAGTCTCGAGAGACTATGGTATCATGCTCTGCATGGAGGACTTGGAACAGCATCTAGTGTGGCTGAGAAGGCCAATTTGAGAGTGACAATCCCTTCCACACTTAGGACAAATACAATCTGTACCCCGTCTAGCTCCCTGATAATGAGCAGAATTGACTGTGTTTCACTCTGAGCTTTGGCAATGCAGAAAAGGAAGTAGAAAATTTCATGCTCTGCACAATTTATTGCACAGAATCTTGCTTACAGGTTCAAGTCTTGTGAGCACCTCATGGCATGGCATTTTCAAAATGGACTATTTTCTGATAGTAATAAGCACTTCACATATTGTGTTCCCCTTTATCAACTAGTTTGTTTCACTGGCACCCCTTGGAAAATAATCATCAGAGCTATTAAACATTTTGAATTCTCATGTCCATATTTTTTCCATAGCATCAGCACTTGCTCCTCCTATAACTTTCCAGGTGGCATTGATTTGTAAGATGGGGCCTTGCACATTATTGCTACGCACAAAATTTCTTTCCTTAAATCACAGTAATGATGAGTACATGTACTCCATTCATTGCCACTGTGATTTAAGGAAGGAAATTCTTTGGTGTGGCAGTAATGTGAAAGGACCCATTACAGTAGCTTACTATGACAGTTCATAGTTCCATCTTATGGAATCTTGAAGTGTGCAGTTTGGTCATATACTTAGAAATTTGTGCTAAAAATGAAATAAAATAAAATAACTTGCCAGCAAGTTCTAGCACAGTGGTTCTCAGCCTTTGATCTTGGACTTCAGCTTCGAGAAGCTGTGGCCTATATGGCCAATTAGTTGAAATTTTGGGGAGATGGTGAAAGTATCTGGACTATGTTCTAATGTAATCCACAGCACGAGATTTCTCTACCAGAGAATTCTAAGTGCCTGTCAGGATTCTCCGGGCAAAGCCACTACAGTTAACGAATCAAAGTGCTGTAACAATACAGTGCAGACACATTCAACCACTGGCAGCATAGGCAGTCTTTCTAAGTGTTCATTTATGTTTTGTGTTATCTGAACAATCATAATATTTTGAGCATACCTGAGTCTGCACCAATAAAGGCCTCTGTGTGCGCATTTCCTGAATCATATTGAAAATGCTGAAGTTCATTGGAAGAATCTTTGGAGAGAGGGGGGGAAAAAGAACTATTGATGTTATCGAATGCTTGGGAGAAATAATCCAAACATTGCACTGCATTCATCAGTGAATTGCAACTTGTTCGTCATTCCTCCTACTTATATAAAAGTGTCTGCTTAAAAGACGAAATGAAAGTTAAAATGTCTTTAGTGGGTGCTTCCTTCCAGTGACTTCAACGGCCTGACCCACGGGCATATATGAATACACCGTTCAACAGAAGTTGTAAATGGAAATAAACACTCACTCCATCTTTTAGCAAGCTCCAGGTGTAGTCAAGGGCACAGATGACTCCTGTTCGCCCACAGCCTGCACTGAAAGAAAAACATGACAGTTTGCCGAGAGAGGGGCAAGAACAGCTCCTACTTTCCATTCAACATCAAATTGTTTTTTTTTCTCCTCCAGTATGTTGACAAAGTACATTCAACCTTCCCTAAAAACTCATTTGTGTGTCATCAGTGCCTTGATTCACCCGGAACAACAACAACAACAAAAATCCTGCCCACTCAATAATAGTTCTCACATCTGAGTGCTGATCCTAATCTCTGACTAGCATGGGAGTAGATTATACTTGACTGCTGCCAGCAAGTGGAAGATGAAGAAGAGTTGTAATATGTCTGATTCCTAACCTAGTTTGCCAAGAAACCTTTAGAACTCAAAACATGGAGGAGGAATGTAGCTTGGGGATGCTAATCATAGAAATCCCATGATTTGATGGAACAAATGGAAAGAGAATGAAGAGATGCAAAGGCACTGCCTGGCAGAATCCTTGATTGTGGATCTCAATGCCACTGTTCTTCTGTAGCGGGACAGTAGAAATTCCTTGGTATGCCTGGCTTTTAAAGTTTTGTTGCTATTTAATTTTTACTGCTGCTTGTACATTTTGTAAGAAATTATAATTTTTGGAAGCCAGTACAGCTTCAGTCAACAAGCTGAAGGATTCTGGGAACTGAAGTCTGAAAAGATAATGTTTCCAAGGGCAAGTTTCCCTCTCATTGTGAAAAGCTCCAAGCAAAGTCTGAAATTTTTACTTTTTAGTTTACAACTCCCAGAAACTCCCAACCTGTAATGGGCAAAGTGACTGGGGCGTTCTTGAAGTTGTAGTTCCCAAAAGTAAATTTTCCAAACTCTCATGAGGAATATCTCAAACGCGGGGACAAATCATCTGAACAATTAGCACCAATAACATTGATTTAGCAGGGTGGAATATAAATCTGCCAAACAGTCATGTCTACAGTAAAAATGGCATTCCGTTGCAGTCAAATGAATACTCTATTTTGCATTTCAATTTATTATTTGGGTTTCATCACTGGCTCATGAGAATCTAGTGACCAGCTTTCAATAGCTAATCCTTCTGATGCTCTAGAGGAAAACAAACATCCCGCTTGAGACCTTGCAGCTGCACATAATAAATGCCTATGGAGCTTAAATTGGTACAGCACTCATTTGCCTATCTCCTTGGCATAGGATGCCAGGACCATATTATACCCATGATCAAGCGGGTATATTAAATTCCTGACATCTCCTGGACACAATTTTAAATGTTTTTATTCTACATGTGAGGCTTTAAATAGTCCCAAAGAGCTAAAGGGCTGCATTTTGTCCTCAGTACCATAATAGTGTCCCAGTTCACTAGCATGGTAAGCTAATTTTTTAAAAAAAATGCTGCCATACCATCAGGAAAGAAATATGTTGATGCAGATTATTAAATTTCTTATCCTTAACTCATCTCATTTGTAGCATTGACCAAGGAAGGAAGGTATTTTCCCTCTGGTATTTGTTCGGCCTAATGTCCAAACTCTGTCTTATTCCTCTCATAACAACATTGGTTTTCTTCAAGACAGGTTCATGAGTCTGGCTTACTAGATGCCACACTGTGGTATCTACAGATACCACAAAATTCTGCCAGAGATTGGAAGAATGCTTTTCTATTTAAGTAGCCAACAGTGGGAACAACCAGTTCCTTCAAAATACAGTGCTGGAGGTGGGCTTTATGGATAACCTGGACTGCCAGAAGTACAAACAAGTGAGTCCTTAATCAAACCAAGCCCCAACTGTCTCTAGAAGCAAACATGGCGGGTGGGCTTTCATACTTTGGGCACTTCATAAGAAGACAAGTCTCTTTGGAAAACTAAATAATTCTAGGAAACGTTGAAGGCAGCAGGAAAAGAGGAACACCAAATATGAGATGGATGGACTCCATAAGGAAACCACAGTCTTGAATTTGCAAGTGCTGAGCAGGGTCATTGTTGATAGCACCTTTTGGAGGTCCTTTATTTATAATGTCACCAAGGATCAAAGGCAACTTGACAGTACATAACAACAACAATTTGTCTACATAGGAAACTCCCATCGTAAGGAGATGTTCTGCATCATCTTTCTTCAAAACATATGTCCTATTTCTGGCTGGAGGATTCTGGGAGTTGTAAGCAAAAAAGTTTTTTTTCTGAACAATGGACTCCACTATGCATTTATAACTCTCTCTCTTCCCCATCAACCTTATGTATTGTTATGTGTTACACCTAACATCTCAAAAGAAACAAAAGGTTTTATAAAATGAATACACACTTACAGTAGTTGTCTTTTTCATTAACAGCTCTCTGCAACATTCTGCTACATGATCCTACACAGATTTTTGTTCTTTACCAAACCAAGACTATGTTTCAGTCTTAGAGTGTGCAGAGATAAGCTTTTGTAGAATCATGGGGGCCACATTCCTTACTGTGTGTGTAAGCATGGAGCACGTGCTCACGCACATGAAGACTAGGGTGAGTAGGCGACAAGCTTGAGAACAACGGAGAACAAAGAGGCACAGAGAATAATCAAGATGTGGAGACCAACAGAGAAGAGAGATAACAGAGAAAATGCAAAGATAAAGACCTAATTAACACAGCCAGCCGCAACCACCAAATGATCCCTCTAAGCCTGTGTGTATTTGCTGTTGAGCAATAATAGAACATTAGACCACCTCTGTGCCCTTGAAATGGAAGAAGTTGCCAAGCAGCGGTACCTGCAGTGCACACAGATAGGTACTTCGCTGTGTGCTTGGTAGCAGCGCATTTCCCATATGAGCTGAAGAATTGGGTTGATTGAAGAGGGGACATCATGATCTGGCCAACATTTGTAATGAAAATGATAGACTGTTCTGATTTCCTATAGAAGGCACCCCAAAGCAAGTAATGTTAGTGATTAATTTCAATTATGTGGCAGTAAAATTCAACACAAGTGCAGAAGCTTATTATGACAGTCTCAGAGCCACAAACCCAAGGATTCTCTAAAAATGCAAGCATTTGTGTTGATCCACATCAATAAACTAGTTCCTGTGTTCTCTTCCCTATGAGGAGCAAGTCTTCTGTAAAACTAATGGATCTTGATTGTCTATTCAGGACTAAGCTACCCAAAATATTGTGCAACTCATCAAAGGTAGCTCACAATAACATATAATTGCTAAGGATATCCATCTCCCACCCTCCTAATAAAAGGATTGCAGAAGGAACAAAGAGGCTGGGTGAGGAGGAGGATGAAGTATAGTCAGCGGCAGGAACCCTAATTCCACTACACTACTTTCATAAACTTTATTCTCACTTATCTGAATCGTGCATTTCAAGTTGATGGTAGTAGAAAACTAGCTATTGTGAGTATCTATAAGCATGTAGCCATTTGAAAAAAAGAATATTAGTCTATATTAGTCTGAAACACACATCCTGCATATATACAAAGGTTCACACCGTACCCAAACTTTACTATTGTGCATGGTTATCCAAACTGCAGCAGACTCTGGCTTCCAGGCTATTTGTACTGATTAAGAATGCTTTTGTATAACTGATGAATCTCGCTAAATTCAGTGAAGCATAAGCTTCTGTACCTGGTATACCAGTACACCTGAGCCATTTTTCAAATACGACTTCCTCCTGCTAATATGAGTGGAATTGTGACTAGCCCTAGTCAGGTATTATTTACCCAGTTTTATTCAACACATGACAAAAGGAGCATCTAGCCACAACCCCCACCCCATTATCGTTTAGCTAACATACAAGAGGTTTCTGTACACGTGGAAGCTCTTCACTCAAGCACAAACATTGGAAAATCAGTGTTCCCACTTCCTGTTCCACAGGAATCTCTCCTTTTCAGATCTGTCACTTTACACATAAGGAGAATGTTGCTGGAGGAGGAAAGGGCTGGTTATATTCTTTGTTGCATGTTGACTAGAACCAGCAAAGAAACACCTGAGTGGAGGTACAGTTCCTGCTGGAGCGAGTTCTTTCAGTGGTGTTGCATTGGCCTGTGTGCCTTCCGCACACAAGATAAATATTGGGGTCAATGACAAAGACTAGTAGTCTCTCTTCCCCCCCCACCATCCCCCCCCGACAGTGACTGACTGCTTTGCATGTTGTTGCCTCACCAAGCCCACCGCATGCCCGGACTGTTCCCCACTTACACTGTCATTCAGTTGCACCTGCAAAATACGAATCACATATTCCTTTCTCTCTTTTTCAGCCTCCTGAAGAGAAAGCAAACCAGATGACATTTGAATAGCAATTATTTCCATGAAGCAGAGCACAGCCTATGAATCAAAGTAAGAAAGGTGGGAGTGCAATTATTATACTCACGCAGGAAATACAGAAAGGGCCAAAATGGAGTGGGGTCTCATCCACTTCCACCCAGTAACGCTCACATTTTCTCTGTTGGAAGAAGTTGAAAACATTTATCTGTTTTCCTGCTGCCTCAACTCTCACATTTTTCTCAGAATAACAGCTGATTTGGCCAAAGGGACCAACAATGCTCGAAAATACAACATTTCCAAATCTGAACGCCATTTTACTTGTTTCCCAAATTACTTGGAAATGGCTGCTAAGTCTCACAATTAATTACCAGTAGCTCTATACATTTGATACAGTGGACCCTCAACTTACAGACGGCTCGACTTACAGACTTTTCGAGTTACAGACTTCTCTGGCCATAAAATTTAGGTTCAACTTGCAGTCTGAGAATCGACCTACAGACCAGAAAAAAACCAAAATGGTACAAAAATGGAACTAAACCGGCCGGTTATGGGATTAATCGGTTGTCAATGCATTGTAGGTCAATGGAGACTCGACCTACAGACCTTTCGACCTGCACCCACTGTTCCAATACGGATTAATTCCATAAGTAGAGGGTCCACTGTACAATACTGGACATCGACTATAAAAGCATAATGAGGACTTCTTTCCTGGCTAAGTTTTGAAGCAGGTGATCTTAAATGTTTGGAAACCAAAATGCATATGATGATGGCTAGAAATACTGAAATTAGCATCAGTGTACCCATTGATTAATGATTCAACAATGGCCACATGAAACTGAAGTAATTGTTTTCACAACTTTTTGCCAGGACTAGTAGAAACGTGGCTAGTAGAAATTTAGGTGGGCAGAAGGCATGAGAATCAAAGATTAAACCTCTTCTCTTGATTGGGTCACTTACAAAACAAACACAAGCTGGTTTGCCAAATACAAACTGAAACAAATTCATGTTAGAATATGCAGAGTATTTCCCGTTAAGAGTGCAATACTTCTAGATATGGAATTAGTGGCTGAAATCCTGTTGTGCAATTATGTAAATAGTGTAACATTTAGATGTGAATTGCTGTAAATTAAGAAATATCCACAGGTGTTCTCTTTTCCATGCTGTGCTATTCACATAACTGCACAACAGGATTCTAGTCAGTGTTTCATCCAATAAGATCTTTCTCACAAAATTCCCACTTCATGAGCTTGGCTCTAAAGTTTGTACTTGATTTCATTTCTACCTTTCAGTGTTTCAAGATTTAAATACATCCAACATTCTGAAAAGGGCAACCAAAGTAACAATGCAGCTGATAATTAAGAAATGAGACATGGAACAATAGCTTGAAGGACAGTCAGAACTAGTAACTACAGGCAGTGCCAGACCAAGAAGACCTAGGACAAAATTATACATTTTGGATAGCTCCATAATAAATGGGAAAATTCCTTGTCTGCTAAAAACCTCTGTCATAGCAAAACCTTTTCACATCTCCTATAGCTTGCAAATTAGTTTTGTTTAGTGGTAGGCCTTTAAGACATAAGCTCAGGCTTTCTTTGTGATCACAACTGCTCGATCACAGATGCCTTCTAGTATAACATCTTTGAAACAGTAATAGATTTCAGCTTTTGCTGTAGTATACAGTTTAGCCCCTACATCCCCAAGGTACAGGCAGCAATGCCATCTTTGATGTAATACTTACTTTCCCCATTTCAAATTCCAGGCAAGCCATCACCACAATCTAGAGAGACAGAAAAAAGTATCTCTTGAGTGCCATGGGACCGGGGGCGAGGGTGGGGGGAGAGAAATTTCTATCTCAAGAGGTCATAATTGTCACTTGTAGACATGTGGACCCCATCCTCTTTGCACAGCTAGAAAAGAAACCTCTGAAAACGGAACAATAAACTAAACATGTTTGCTTAATTTTTATTTTAGGTGTAACATGTGCAGACCGGGGACAAAAGGAGGATTGAGAAGGATTTCAATCTACAACTTTGTCTAAAAACCATCTAGCTGCATTTGCTGTTAGTCCCCGTCTCCCTCCACTGTTGCCAAGCCTCTGGATCTGCTATTAATATTTGGGGTGGAGGGGAATAGCTATTACTGTACCTGAAGAAAATGTAGAATATAAGCACCACTATGGTATATGAAAAATAGTTATAGTCTGTTACTGCACACATGTATGAGTGTAAGAGGACCAGATTAGAAAACTGTTTGGAAAAAAGAGCAACAGAGACAACAAGGAGGGGTAGTTGCCAGTACTGCATCATGGATATCCTATGTCCATTGTGTGCAGAGGGTGTGTGCTCACATGTGCTCACACAGTTGTACATCTTAGAGGGAACTTTGTTCCTGATATATTGATATATCACGGGGCTAAATTGCCCTTTGAAGCAAGAGAGGAAATAAACTGGTACCATGGTGTAGCCAGCTGTAACAATTCAAACAGGAGGAAATAAATCAGTACTGCTAAAAGTTCTTGGGTTTTTTTCTCCTGGGATATAAACCACATGATCATGATTCAGTACAGCAGAGGTGTGGAAAGTATCAGAAGAACTAGGAAACATTTCCCTCATGTGACCAGGGCTTAAGAAGAAGGCTAATTATACATACTATTCTGCTAGCAATAATCTTTTACTGTAAATTAAAGGGATTTGCATCTTACCTGGACTTTGTATTCCCAAATCATCCTCCAAAAATCTACCACAGTTGTGGAAAGGGGACCTTGGGTAGCTATGTAAGTCTTTGGCTCATACACACCCTTGGAGAGGAAACCAACAAAAATATACACTTGAATGATTCTTTAAAAATCACTGAGATTCAGTCTACTCTGGCATATTTGTCATATTTCCCATGGTATCATATAACAAATCATCTTGTTAACCTTAGAAGAACTGCCAAAAATAGGAATATGTGATCTCACACAACTAATGAGAAGAACTGAGACATTCAAGGGATTTCCCACAGTGATTCTGCCATGAGACAAGTAAATCCAGTCAAGCTCAAATAGATGGAGCAATCCTAAGGGCAACAGGAGAGCCAAAAGTTGAGGGCTGCCCAACACTTCCAAAGCCCTGCTGACTCACATTGGCTGGGGGAGGGTTTTTCCTCCTCATACCCCATCACAGTGTTGCTTTAAAAAAATCTTTGCACTAACTGAAACTCATGGAGGGGAATTAACAACACTATAACCATGCTGGTATAGTTCAGGGCAGAGTCATAACAAGGGCACAGCAACCAGGTTTGACTTCACTGCTTGAATTTTGAGATGTGTTAACTGGTGAATGTCAGAAAAATAAAGGGCAACATCTCCTGGCCTTATTCACTTTGAGAGGAGTTCTTCACAGGAGCCGCCTAAGATCTCCTGCTGCTTGAGGCAGGAAGCAAAGTGCCACCTACCCACCCCATTATTGTGCCAATATAGCAGTTCCTTAATTCCCTTATAATGCATATTACATGTTGTCAAGTCAGCTTTGACTTAAGGTGACCCTAGTAGGGCTTTGAACGTAGGCGAGATATTTAAGGGTGGTTTTATCAGTGCCACTTTCCCCCGCTCCATTAGTTTCCATAGCTGACTAGAGACGTGAATCCAGACCTCCTGGATCCCATTCCAACATTCTGTCCATTACATAGCCCTGTATCTCAAATGCCCTGATCATCCCTGATTATTTATCCTTATTACTCCTGATTTATCTTTTGGGGGATCAGATTTTGAGGGCCCTCAGAGCCAGACTTTTTGGAAACAGTCAGAACAGCTGCTGGTAGTGGTTAGGATGCTCTACTCTTTTTTCTGAGAAAAGCAGGCCTGCTCCATAATGCTGTCACTACTAGTCATTTCCTCCTTCTTGGGCACGGAGCACAGGATATGCAGGTCATAGCGACACCAGTCCTTATCATTGTCTAGGTTGGATGCAGTACCCCACTGTCCTTTTGCCCCATCTCTTTCAGGAGGTACCCTATACTCCAACTCCTACTTCAGGGGGAAGGCTTGTGCCCTTGCCTCAGGACACAGTGGATGACAGGTAATGTTGAGATGAGTAGGCCTGTTGTGTTGCACAATGACCATCACCAGTCTGAGTGCCCTGAAGCTGTGCAAATGTTCTCTTCTGCCAGTTCTCTCCCCTTCCTCTGTTTTATAGTTATTTAATGTTTTGAGGAGTGGCAGCCATGGTGGCCTCCTTCTGCTTCAGTTAAGCCCAGTGGTGCTCGTGCCCCGTGTTATTCATGGTCTTCAGGAAATGCTTCTTCCAGCCCCTCATTTAATTGATGATGTTATATTTTGTTTTCATGACTTATAATTACATGGATTACAAAATAGATTTGAGGATGTGTTTTATATTGTTTGCCGTTGGCCTCAAACCTGCTAGTTATTACTCTGTTTGAGGGGCCTGATCCTGTGACCTGTCAGAGGACTGGAGGCAGCAGGTGCAATGCCACCTCCATCCTGACCCAGGAATGCTCCATTTGGGTGCCTTCTGATGACAGGAGTGCTAAAGGAAATAGAGTTAATTTCTATAGAGATGTCTCTGCGGCTAAGATGCCTCCCACAATGCAAAGCTCCTCTCCTCTAGTCAAGGGTATTTTGGCTTCCTGCTAACTCTGCCAGTCACCATACCCTAGGCTCATATACTTGCATGACTAGGTATTTTCAAATTTCTCTTTTTTTAATCTGTCACACCTTTGGCTGGAAGAAGCACTGTCTCCATTACTCCCTTTATATCTTGATACACAACCATAGTTGTGGCTGTTCTATACTCTAAATCAGTGGTTACAACTGGCTACAACTCCAGAAGCCTTCTCCACTGACTTTGCCAACTAGGGCGTCTCAAAATTGTAGTCCAGGAACATCTAAGGTCCCAAGTTTGGCAACCGCTATGAAAGATTATTAGCGTATAACAGTATTTTCAGTTTAAAGCATGATAAACCAATTGGAATTATACCATATCCATGATGAAATAATTACCTTGATGAAATTTGCATTGATATAATGAGAGTCTTTATCTGATGTGATAAGAGATAGCTTTACTCTGCTGTGATCATCTAGAAGAAATAAAAGAGGAGGGAAAACCTGTTAGCTGTGTTATATAACAGATCCTAATGAAAGTGTATGACAAGGCTGTATATTGTCTCCCTGCTTATTTAACTTATATGCAGAATTCATCATGTGAAAGGCAGGACTGGAGAATCCCAAATTAAGATTGCTGGAAGAAATATCAACAACCTCCGATATGCGGATAATACCACTCTGATGGCAGAAAGTGAGGAGGAATTAAAGAACCTCTTAAAGAGGGTGAATGAGGAGAGCACAAAAATGGTCTGAAGCTCAGCATCAAAAAAACTGGTCACTAGTTCCATCACCTCCTGGCAAATAGAATGGGAAGATATGGAGGCAGTGACAGATTTTATCTTTTGGGCCCCAAGATCACTGCAGATGGTGATAGCAGCCACAATATTAAAAGACACATGCTTCTTGGGAGGAAAGCGATGACAAACCTAGACAGCATCTTAAAAAGCAGAGACATCACCTTGCCAACAAAGGTCCTCATAGTTAAAGCTATGCTTTTTCCAGTAGCAATGTATGGAAGTGAGAGCTGGACCATAAAGAAGGCTGGCCGCCAAAGAATTGATTCTTTTGAATTGTGGTGCTAGAGGAGACTCTTGAGAGTCCCCTGGACTGCAAAGAGAGCAAACCTATCAATTCTAAAGGAAATCAACCCCGAGTGCTCACTGGAAGGACAGATCCTGAAGCTGAGGCTCCAATACTTTGGCCATCTCATGAGAACAGAAGACTCCCTGGAAATGACCCTGATGTTGGGAAAGTGTGAGGCAAGAGGAGAAGAGGATGACAGAGGAGAAGATGGTTGGACAGTGTCATCGAAGCTACCAACATGAATTTGACCAAACTCCGGAAGGCCGTGGAAGACAGGAGAGCCTGGCATGCTCTGGTCCATGGGGTCACGAAGAGTCGGACATGACTTAACGACTAATCAGCAGTGAAGCCAAATCAAAGCAAGGTTCATTATGAGAGCTGCCCTTAGTGTTTGGTTCATTTGTCCAAGATACGTCCCACCGCATAGGCATTGCAAGTGCTTGCATGAAAATGCATATTTTTATCATGGTTTGGGTCATGGACTGCTACGGCCATTATATTTAGAAAAAGCGATAGCTCAGTGGTTTAGGTCTCTGATTGCAAAGCCAGAAATTGGGAATTCGATTCCCCACTGTGGTTCCTTGACAGGAACTGGACTTGATGATCCAGAGGGTTCCTTCCAACTTTATAGTTCTAAGCCACCAAGGCTTTATTCTCTCACTTGGTTTTGAAACTCTTTCCGGTGATAGGGCATTCTGATTTTAGTAAACAAAGTTTGCCTCTTTTTACATTGTGCCAATGAAGAGCAACAAACATTTAAGTTTAATGAATGAATGTCTCGGAGGATAAATATGTTCCTGTATGGATACATGTCAAGTTGAACCCATTTTTATTTTCAGAATCACACTCATTCCCAAAGTCTTTTCATTGATTTCCACCAAGCCTACTTTGTACAATTTCCCTTTTCTATTTAATTTGAGACCAAATTGATGTAATAAATAATATTTAATTATTAAACTAATTGATTTAGTATAACTAATATTTTCCTAGCCCTCAGAAGAGGCTTCTTTGGGAGGCCACAATGAAGAATTTTGAAATCAAGAACATTCTTGTGATAAACCCAAGCACAATGTTAGCGGCAGGGACAACTTCCTTCCTTCAAAGGAAGCATGTCCTTGTGTGAACAGTATAAATGCTTTCAATTTGGGGCAAGGGAGGAATCAGACATGCCCACATCTGCAGTTTCCAGAATAGCAACATGTGTCTTTCACACTGCAAAATCTGTTATGACTGAGATATTGGAACTCTCAGTGCTGCTGATATAAGGAAGGAACTACACATTACTTTAGCATACATCTTCATATTTTTGTAGTTATATAGGAAAAGGGCTGGTTTCAGGGAAGATTAGTGGACTACAGAGAGAAAAGATATTCAGAGAAGAATTGGCCCATTAGCTTACTTTCCTCTGACAATGTTCCCTTCCTCTGTAATAGTATTAGTAGGAAAACATAGGGCTGAGAAGCTGTGTTTGAAAACCTGCTAGTTTTGCCTTAAGGAAAGCACTATCACAAGTGAAGTAAACAGTCAAATCTTAGACCTGAAAGGCTGGAAGAGACCCTATGGATAATCAGTTCCAGCCCCTGTCAGAGAAGTACAGTGGGGAATTGAACTACAGGACTACAGAGTTTATCAGCTTCCAAAGATAAACATAACCTGTAAAATTCATATTAAGAGTGTTTTTCCAGGATTGATGGTGTTCTGATGGAGGAATATATAGAGGTGACTCAGTTGTATAATGTACACAACAATCACAGAACTTGTATATCAAAAAGAGAGAGAGACAGCATTACTCAGTTAAGTAATTCAGTTGCTGGGAAAAAGAGATACAACAAATGCTTCCATTATAGTATTTCTAATAAATATGATCAGACTGTGAGTACCCACTGACTAACCTTCATGAGAACACTTCCCCTTTTTGCTGTTGAGGGAGTTTCATAGCTAGTGCTGGTTCCCATTTATTACTATTAACAAAGACAGGCAAACATGGGTTTTGTTTGTTTGTTTGTACTTTCTGATAATACTTTTTGAAGGCATATGTCACCTGGTGGCTACATACAATGTTAGAAAGTGATCCAGAAAACATGGCTGGGTTCGCAGTGTGTACCAGTCCTAACAGTGTCTTGATAAGAGGTGAGTTTGCTTGTTTTGCAACCCCCTGGCCAAAATCCCCTTCTATAGCTATGGAAATGAAATAATTTTTAAGGCAAAGTGTTCTAAGTTAAGAAATCACTGCAGACATTATCAGTTGCACGTTGAGTCACACAACTCTCTATGCAACCAATTAGGTCTACAGTGTTCCTAAAACCTGTGGCACTTTGCCTCCAAAAGTTGTAGTATTTGTGCTACATTACAGTGTAATTAGGTATGAGGATTTGGGCAACTGTACGTGCATGTAAATGCTTATGGTCTTGAATCCTAAGATCATCTTAGGTGAGGAAGTTCACAAAAAGGAATGTTTCTTGTTCCCTCTTTGTGCGAAAAGGCTCGTGTGCTCCTTCCTCAGACAAGGAAGAATGAGACACAACAGCTAATGGAGAAAGGGGAAATTGACCCAAAACGGAGCATTCTCCCACTATGCCTGTGCAGCTGCCCTTGCTCAAGAGACCCATCTGATTATTTTCAGAGATGCAGTGAAGTGCAGGGTCAGGAAGGAAACCTCTCTTTGACTCATTTGTTCACGTTATCATAGTATTCAAGCAATGTAAAGTATTATATAGAGCAAGCACAGGGGCTGGATTATTGTGTCTTATCATCCCAGACAATTCATTGAAAACATAGAAAAATATTTATTTTTGCAGCTTACATGGCAAGATGTCCTTATATCGGTTCTTGCTGACATTTTCTGGTCTCTCAGAGGTATACGTTGGGTAGATTTTATCTGCTTTGCAGGTTGCTGATTGCCTTTTCAGTTTCTGCGGTTAAATCATAAAAAGATATTACAGAGAACAGGCTGCCATGGGGCTACATCTCTCATTATTTCCTGACTAGCCTCTCTCTTGAGACAACCACAGTGACAAGTAAACAGCCATCATCACTTTGCAATGGAAGTTTCAAAGCAGTGGAAAGTTTGTACGTGTGTAGGAACGATACATGGCTCAGGTATAAGCTTCTCTGATGTGGCTTCAGAGAAAATTAACCATTCACATAGAACTTCTGCAGCCTTTGAAAAGGTGTGATGTGGTGCAAGCACACTCAGTTCAGATGTCTCTAAAAATACAAAAATACAAAAATCTATGGACAAAAAAAGAAGCAGTTCAACTGTAGCTAAGTGCTGCAACATTTTTGTCAAGTGCCTCACTCACCCCAGAATGCCTGTTTTTCTAAATACTCTGGAATCCCAACAGTCATAATAAACACAGTAGAGCCTTGCTCTGGATTAAACAAGGCAGAAATATTTCTAGAATCTAGCCAACATTGGCATAATTTTGATGCTGTAACAACACTTGATAATGGCTGTAGTTTCCCCACATAATCCAGACTAAAGAAACTATAGAGTTACAAAAAGATAGATAATAGGGATTGTATCCTATAGCAGCCATCAAGATGGTGTTCCAGTTATATTCAGTTTATCAACTTCAGTTACACTTTATCCCACCCTCTATTACTTTCCACCATATTACTCAGCTGCACTACAATCATTTTTTAAAAATTCTATAAGAACATTATACAAGATTCACATACACTGCAAATAAAATATCTGAATAATATGGTACACAATTGAGGGCTAAACTACACATGACACAGGAGACTGGATTTTCTACTTTTTTTCCTTTTCTTTTACTTTTAAGCAACTGTGGGAAAAGAGGCTGCATATTTCCTCCAAAGTGTCCTGGTAAGAAAGCAGTACTGTATATGTTTTCCTCCCTCAGTGCCTTTCTTCCAATCAAAACTACCTCTTCAAAGGTGCTGTTAGACCTGAGGTGAGATAGGTAATACAACACTTGAATACTATTCCCTCACCCACCCCAATCTCAGAGGAAATGAAATAAATCAAGAAAATTATACAGAGATAAAGATGTAATCACTTTCATTCCCAGTATTGCTCCTACAGTATATTTAAGTGTATTTTCTAGAATACTTTTATTGTAACATTTATTTCTCACCTTTTTGTGATTCCCCATAATACCCAGGATCCTGCATTAAAGAAATCCCTGGATTTCTGAAATTATGTGTTGTTTGGAATGCATTCAGCACTCCGACTGTGGAATGAGGTTCCAAGATCATGAGTATCTCTGGAAAGATAACCATGCTCTAGCCTTCTTAATCACCAAATTTTTTTAAAAATGCTAATTTGTTTATTCATATTTGTACAAATCAATGCCCCCAGTGAATACAAGTCAATACATTTTTAGTAATTTTTGATTTGTCAATTCATTTGGCTCTAAAACAGCCCTCCATGAACCTAGAGACACCAAAATTGCTGGAAAGCTTCCTTTCATTCTTCTCTACAAACCCTACAAGCTTGGTCCAGACTGGGTTTTTCCCAAGTCAGTAGCCAAAGGAAACTTTCCTGGGAGGAGTTTGTGCGTGTATAACTTGAATGTTTGTCTGAAACCTAATCTTCACCAAACTTGGAGTGATTGTAGAGGAGAGTCAGTAGAAGCATCTCTGTGACTTTGATGTCTCTAGGTGGCTGGGGAGGACTTTGCTGCGGGTGCCTCCATGTGGGTGTATAACTCAGATGTCCAAAAACTAAACTTCACCAAACATGCAGGGCTTGTAGAGGAGAGTCAGGGGAAGCTTCCCTGCAAATGTGGTGTTTCTAAGTGCTTGTGGGAGGCATTTTATAGGGTTTTAAAGACAAATTGACAGGCCAATTAATCAATTCATGAGAAAAATTCATAACTTTGTGATTTGTGATTTATTGACCTTGACAAATCATGACTCAAAATGAATCACCATTTTTTAAAAATTCATGCCCATCTCTATTGCTAATCTCAAACAGCAGCAGCAGCAACAAACGTAGCCTTGATATTCAATATATAAGGCAAATAGACTAGTGAAAGATTTCATCTGAAAAGATTTAAGCAGTAATTGGTCCAATTCAGTTTAAATCAAGCATGGCCTATGCTCTCTCATTCATTCTCTTCATGCTTCTTCCACCTTCATCCTAAGTAAAGCTAGCTGAAAGGAATATCTTGACACCAAGGTTAATGTGGCTATTACCCTCCCCAAGAATTCTGTTTGCTGCAAGAGTTCCTTAAGCTAGATTCAATGATAAGTGTTCTAGTGAGAAACTAGAATTAGGAGCAGTTCTACCTCCTTAGCAAAGTGGGGGCAAAGGAAATGATTGAACTGCACTCCCTGTTAATCTGCTTCCTGTAAAAGAAATGTGCAGAAGCAACCTATGCAAGTTGTATGTTCAAAACGATATAGTTTATGAGAAACTCACCCCACAAGTTCCTCAGAACCATGGTAGGAAGCACCACCGTTATGTACACTTGTTACATTGCTTGCTTTCCCTGCATTTTATTGTAACAAAGTCTTTTCAACCCTTTAATTCCAGAGATATTTATAACTTCAAACATTAATTGTTCTTGTTGAACACAGGGACAAGTTATAATTGGTCATATTGTTACAAATATTTGTAATTTTCAAGAAATAATATGTTATTTAAAATACAGATGCATAAACAGACTTTTAGAGAGCATTTAGTCCTAATAGTACTCTTTCTCAAAGGTTAATTCTATCCTGAACCAAAACTATAAAACTTCTCCCCAATTGTTCATGAAATTAATGAGGGTTCTATCATTGTCTATCTTTTTGTCATAACTGTTAACTAGAGATTTGCACTACCTTTGGACAGTGTGCCAAAACATACTGAATAGAGAGCATTTGTGTGATTCAGGGGCATCTATGGAATGCAGCACAGAGCTGCAGGTCACCCATAGGGTAGAGAAAATCTCACAAAACCTTTATGTTCAATTTGGCATTTGTGGGAGTGGAAAGGTTTTAACCCAATGAGCAACAGCATTTGAACAAAGGAAAACTAAAAGATTGAGCTGCTGGTGACAAAAGAGACCAGGTTGGGGACCACTGCCTTATTAGAGTTGTTTCTTGCTGGTTCTTTTGTTTCATTTAAAAGTCTTGTTTAATTTATCTCTGTTGCATGATTTTGTAACTGCTTTATTACTCTGTGAATAGCCTTTCCGGGAATAAGGCTCGTACATATTTATAAATAAATAAATAAATGAAGCAGGAGAGGAGGAGGGGGATTTCCAGTGTTTTTTGCTTTTTTGTTTTTGTTTTTGTTTTGTTTTTGTTTTTGTTTTTGTTTGTTTTTTCGTATGTATGTGTGTGTGTGTGTCTGCAAAGCTTTGGATGAATGAATTAAGAGAGGTCAGAATCAGTTGCAGACTTTCTGTCCTACCCCTATCCCAACTTTATGTCTGTGAGTACTTTAAGTTGTCTGGACAGGACTACTGTAGCATGGAGCAATTTCAACTGAAACTGAAGGGGTGTGTGTCACATTTGGTAACCTCAGACTCAGAAGAAGACTATCCCAAAAATGCAAAGTATGGAGCTGTATGGAAGAAAATGGACAATGACTCAGAAAACCATTAAAAGATGTTGAATTAGAACACTGGAAGAGTCCCAGATGTTATCTGGCGCAACTCTTTGGATAAGACGGCGGAATTTAGACCCAAACATTCCCAATAGATTAGCCTACATTTCTTTCAAGCGACTCTTATTGCAAGAGTTTTTTGCCTGCACAGTTACCCAAGGATTTGAAAATAATACAATAGATCCATGATTGCCCAAGTATGCACCTTTGTCTCTATTTTCCACTGTGATCTCTAAGTGGTCACCAGAGTTTTCTCATAATAGGATGCTGAGTGAAATATCAAGAAATAGCTATGTGGATCTCCAGACAGGCAGACAAATCTTGGGACAGGCAACACGGAAGATACCACAGTCTGATTACTTGTGTGATGGCTTTAAAGGCTGGACAGCCACCTCTTCCCCTCTTCCAAAATAATTCCTGGACTCACCAGCAGAGTTAATAAATGTTTAAAAGCTAGTGGCCACTTGAACGACAACTGGAATGCAGTAGGCGTGCAAGTCTGTGTGCATGAAAAGGAGAAACAATGTGGATTTCATACAGACATAGCTCGTCAAGCTGTAACCAATTCAGTTAATTGTTAAATACGAATTGAATATTATGAACTATTAGATATTAAAGGAATATGATCCTGGCAGCTGAATCCCCAACCCAAAGTTCTTTCTAAGAAAAGTGAAAAGTGCTGCATTTATTCTCCTGCAAACAAGTCCTCCACCACCACCATTTTCAATGGACAGTAACTGCAGGAGCAAATGAAATAGAGACAAAAGATGTGAGGAGGCATTCCACAGTATCGCCCACTTCAAAATCAAACAAAACACCATGCTGCGAACCAAGCAGAATGACAGCATTAATCTAGGGATGAGCAGTTGGCAGATTTAGACTGCTAGCTAGTGGTGGTGATGTGTCTAATGAGCCTCTGGCGAAATTGAACTAGATTACCCACAAATTTCTGATACCAAATTTACAACAGCAGTATCATTGTGTACACACTCCACCTCCGTGCAGCTGGAATGAAGAAAGCTTGGAGTAACTGGGAGTGAGTGAAGTGTAAGGGGGTAGGGAATGGGAGAAGTATCAGGAAAATACGGGAATGTACCGGATTGGTATCAATGTTGTCTACATTCTCCGGAATAAATGAGTGACTGACTGATTTAATAGCGCCAACACCATTTAGCTCACTAGGCAAGGAAACAAAGGTAATCTCTCTTTTGTCCCATTCAAACTGCCCCTTGTCCCTGCCTCACAAAGAGTTCTTATCAAATTTGGCATGTAAACTGTGGGGGAGGGTGGAGTAATTTCATATCAGAAGCCCTTAAGGTATTTTCACAAGCAATGCTAAGAATTTTTCCGTCTGGAAGGAGTAAGTTGTAAATGCTGTTGGTGCAGTCATTACACCTTCCCGCCAATAAAACAGACAGTTGAAACTGAGTGATGTTTTAGCCAATGCCAATTTTTCATTTGAATCACTAATTTAGGAAAACAAGCCACCTACACCTGAACGCACACACAAATCTTGACAAGAAACTATGAGTAGGTCTTTGTGGGCCCAGGACAGAAGGAGACAGTAGACCAAAAAAAAAAAAAAAATCCATGGTGAATCCTTCATCTAATATTACTAAAAGCTACTAGTCTTTCACTTGTGCTGGAAAAGCAATTGACAAAATATATTGGCAAATTGATATTTGGCAACTGATATTTTCTATGATAGCCAAATTTGCTTTTCTTCCTAAATTTTTGAAATGGATTAGGATTCTTTATTCACTTCCAGGATCATAGAATTAGCTAATGGTATTTTGTCTGCACCGTTTCCCCTTGAAAGGGCAACCTGACAGGTTGTTATCTTTCTCCTTGCATATTTAATTCAATTTTTGAACCTCTGCACTGTGCCAAACACTATAGATTTATACATAAATTTTCTACATATAATTTTTCTTTCTTTCTGAAAATGATCTGTTATTGTTTATCTCTGAACCTACAGATTCCAGTCCAGCATTCATGAAAGAGAGGGATGTATCTGGAGATTTATTTAGTTTTTCAGTTAACTGCCCAAAATCTGAACTGATGCTGATGGGAGACATGTCATGGAGTGTTTTTGCTGACTGCCATTTTTTCTGGTGCCCTGTGATTGTTATTTATCTTGGAATAATGATTCCCAGGGAAGTTTCACAAATGATAATGTGAAATTTTAATAAATTGATTAAATTTGGACAGATGGCCGCCCATAAACTTGTCCCGTGGGGCAAGGTAAATCCATTCAAAACAAATGTTATAACTTGGATTGTATACATTATTTGTGCAATTTCTCTTTAGATAACATGCAGATGTTTCCATAATTTCTGTAAAGAGGATAAAATTCACATTTCATGATGGTGGATTTGACTTTATCTCAGTTTACACCACTTTGCTAACTTCTACCAGCTAATGACATTGTTCTTCTCAGTGGAGTTATGCATCTTCGGTCCTTCTTAAAAACTTCCTGCCTGATTTCATTTTCTGAATGAATAGCTACCAATATTATAATGAATTTTATTTCCCTAACAAATCCTACAGTCTAAGTGATATGGTGCTTACTGTCACAGCAGTTTCGGTTTGGTCCTTATTCACATGCTACATGGATTTTATGGAGCAATATTTATTTATTCATTTGTTTGTTTGATTGATTTATAGGCCGCCTTTCTCCTGATAAGAAGCCCCAAGGCAGCTCACAATATTAAAAAGAATAGAATTAAAAACCTAGTAAGTTAAACATTAAAAAACAATTAAACTATCTGCTAATTAAAATACAATTGAATAATTTAAAATAAGTAAACATTAAAAATGATCTTTCGGGGATTCAATCATGTTTGTTAAAAACACATCTGAAAAGATGGGTCTTCAGCTGTTGACAGAAAGATAAAAAGAAGGGGGACAGCCTGATCTCCCATGGGAGCACATTCCATAATCTGGGAACTGCCACAGAGAAGGCCCTCTCTTGTGTCTTCCCATCAACTGTGCCTGTGCTGACAATGCGAATGAAAGGAGGATCACCTCTGGTTATCTCAAATGCCAAGAAAGCTCATATGTGGAGATATAGTCCTTCTCATAGCCTAGATCCAAGCTGTATAGGACTTTATAGGTAAAAACAAATACAGGAAGCCTTTTTTTATGGAAGGCTTGCACAGACTCAGCACTTCTTTCTTTGGACCAACTAGTTGGTTATGATGATATATTTGATAGCTAGATATGATTTACCAACCTTGGCTGAATGGCATTTGATAGCATTTAAAGTGCCTCAAAGTGTCTTTCACTCTTAGAGATGGTCCATTAATTTATATAGGGGAAGAAACTCAAAATATTTCCATACAAGTATTTGTTGTCATTTCATATATTCTAAGGTTTCAGGAATAGGTGGAACAAGGAATTGGATTGTACTATCTTGCCTAACCAGTAGATATGGCCTTAGCTTCCATATCTGCTTTATCTGTGGATATTAAGCCCTGACTTACCCAGAAAAAAAATTACATTTATGATATACTAGCCACCGTAACACTTCTTGACACCATCGGTGCAATTCACCCTATGGATCTCTTTAACATGTCCTCTGAGCATGTCTAGTCATAAGATCTTTGGGGAAATAAATCTTACTGTTCATATGCATCTTGCACCATGGTGTGGTCTTTTATTTTTGCTGGTGCTTATGTGTTTGTTTGTATGTTTGTTTGTTTGTTTAACTTACATGCTGCCTACACTACCCAATTGTTGTAAGCCACCATCTGGGTTTGCCAAGAGAGCTGAGGAGGTATTATACAACACTCTCACAAGGCTGTGCATTATAGAAGAAAAGTTGCTAAATAACAACTATTCTTCATGGAAACTTGCCTGCCATTGATGATTTCTTTATGGAAGCTTCTCTGGTAAACCTCTGTGGGATTGTCAAATCTCCTCAGAACACAATTTTCATTGTCTTTCTGAGACTGTTGACCAATTACCATTTCGACTGTGGTTAACCAATGTCCATCATTATCTCCCCAATCTTTCGTTATCTCTTTGCTATTTCTTTTTAATCTTTTGCTAACCATTTAACCAGAAAAATCAATGCTGCTTTTACTTGTGATCTTTCAAGGGTATGACATGCTATTTACAAGAGTTTACAAAACCTTTCTTTACTGTTTCCTTTCTTATCTTTTTAGGACGGGGAGGAATTAAATGTTGGCTTATAGAAAAATTGGTCAAAATAATATGGGGAGAAATCATTAACATAAGGAAACCCACACAGCAGTTTTCTGCTCATCACTTGCTACGGGTTGCATGAATGGGCACGCAACTGCTTGGCTGACTAGAATAAGCCGAGCCTTGTGATGGCCATCTGGCAGCACAGGTAGGCTTGTTTGTGCAATTGCCTCCGTATGCTGAATGGAACCAACATGACTGTATTGTTCAAAATGCAGCCCATGTGGTTTCTACACCATATTACACACACATATTCCGTTAAGTGTGTCCTCCACGCATACCGTACTCAGAAACTGAAAATGGTAGGGGATTTTTTTTGTAGAATGCACAAAATCCACAAATCAGCATAAGGCTAGAACATTCTGAGGACTGTACGCCAAAAATGTAACTCTCAAGTTATGGGGAGAAGACTAAGGAGGACTTAAGGAATCCCCAAGACCCATTCTCCACCATTTTAGCAAAATCATGCTTTTCCCAGCCTTTGAGAAACAATGGTTAAGAACAGGGCTAGATTCAAGAGATGGTATAATTCCATTCCTGACAAGGTCCACAGTCCAAAATGGGTCCACTACTCACCGTCTCAGACCCCGCTCCTCCTTATTGTCACTGTCACTTTATATGCCCTCACCAAGTACAGTATGAGAACAAGCAGAAGTGAAAGTAACTCCTACATTCCCTTCTCTTCTGGGCAGTGTTGTGGGTCGTTCCCAAAGGAGACAGAAAGCAAAATGGCATTACTGATAGTGGCAAAGAAACAGGTCCATTCAGGTAAGGGGCTCCACTCTTAAAATATGTGTCTGACACTGGCTAAGGGGGAAGATATTACAAATGTAACAAGGGGCTGGAATCTTTATAGTCCCTTTGGAATCAAATACTGTTCCCCCCTCCCCAGAGGGTGAGAAAAGCACAACAAATAGTAAGTGATCACAGAAAGAGGAGGACCAGGTTTTGAGACTACAGAACTATGAAAGATTCAAACAATTCAAATAGTTACCATCTGATTCTTCCCTGTTTGAAGTCTAGTTAATTACTGTACACCAGAATATACTGTATAACTAAGCTACTATTTGCAACAATAGACACATATATCCTTTTAAAATACAGTCGGATCCCAAAATATTGTTTTTGTCTACTTACCAAAAATTCGTTTGTAAACTCCTCTGTATTGCATATGATACTTTTGGCCCTTTCCAGGTTTTGGATGACAATTTCTCTTTGATCCATACTGGAAAACCAGGTGAAGCTGATCTGTCAGAGATGAAGATGGACATGACTAGTACATGCTACAGTGGAAACAACCATCAGAGCAGATGGTTCCTGTTGAAGTTTGTGGTTTGTTCCGTTCATCACAAGACCTAAAGGAAATTTGTATGTATGTAGCAGCAGCCACAGGGGGGAAATGAAAAGAGGCCTTCCATGCTGGGCCCTAGTGCCTCCCTTTTATGAGGAGTTTTAAAAAAGCATGTTGCTTTGTTTTCATTGATCCTGCTACTCAGTTTTCTCCAAGTGCAGAGTCTCACCAGGTAATTCTTTGAAGTAATTTCTACTTGAAGATCAGGAAATTAAAAGCAAATCTATATAAATCACAAGCAACAAAATATAGCCGGTCCCCAATATGTGGCATTTAACAGGTCAGTGACCATTGCCAATACTTTCCACTTCGTTCAGCATTTTGAAATACCCATACTGATAAATTGTCTTCTCAGATTAAAACACATACACACACACACATACAGACGCTCCTCATTCATCCTGTAGAAAGAGATGACTTTGCTTCTAAAATGCACTATTCAGGCCTTGCCAGAAAGCTTGAAAATACCCAGACATTACCACCCTTTCACACGACCTCAAATGAACTTTGCAAAGCCATACCATGATCAAATATTTGTATCAGCATGTTGAAATTATGCAGAGGTCAATGAATCAGAGACTAGCCAGTCTCAGGAATGCAAGTTATCTGAATGACTCAGCTATGATCATTCTTACACATTCTGGAAAATCTTTGTTCAATTGCTGCTTTTGAAAAACTAACAAAAATACAAATTCTAACTATCCTTCCTCCTATTTGATTAATGAAATACTGTGTAGAAAACCAGCATCATTCTGCCAAAGGGGAGCACTGCCCCCAGCTGTTTCTGTACAAGTATATGTCAGTGATTAACACATGCTCTTCTGCATGTGTTGGGAAACAAATCTGCTAGTCAAAACAGAATCCAAATAAGGAAAAGTTTATTCCTCCAATTTGCTTTGTCTCCTGGTTGGGGGATTTCCAACAACAGCAAAAATACTTATCAGCATGATTTTTTTAAAAACGAGGAATGTTCAGAACGTCCCAACTAGCCCTAGACATTCTTGTCAGCAAAGAAACATCAAGATTCATACTAGCTACCATTTTTTTAGTTCAGTAAATTACTATAAGTTGCTATTTTTGTATAAAATCCAGGTCTACGTGTTTAAATCCAGTTTAAAATTCATGTTCTAAACTTCTAAGTTTCACATTACAAAATTTTAATCTTAGAGCTACATATAAGTAAGCATCTCTGTTCACAGTTCTTCCAAGTAAATGTAGGGATGACCTGGTTATACAATAAACCACAATGAGGGAACTATCTTCATAGTCCTCATCTTCATTGTATTTTCTTAATTAATTGTGGTTGAGCAATTGCCTTATTTCTAACACGAAACTCCATTGACTGTCAATATTGTTTTGTCAACCAATGCTCCCCCACACAGAGAAAGTATAACAACAACAACAACAACAACAACAACAACAACAACAACAACAACAACAACAACAACAACAACAACAACAACAACAACAACAACAACAACAAAGGAACTTGTGCTCCCTAATGTTGGTCAGCTAATGCTGCCATCACCCCTCACCATTTAAATGCCTGATACTGATGGGAATTGAAGTCCAACAACATCTGGAGGGCACTGGTTCCTCATACCTGACTTAAAAGTTCTGGTGTTTCTCCAGAAGTGGTCACAGTACAGCAATAAGTCAGAAAAGACCTCTTATTTGAATGAGATTAAAACACATATAACTGTGCATTAGGGTGTACACACATAGAAGACTCCACCCATATTTGATAGAGGGAGTAGCAATATCTAATGAAAGATTAGATATTGGTCAAAGTGAGAAGTCTTTGTTTTAAAAAGTCTTGAAAATGTGCAATATAATTTATATTCATATATATTTTATATGCACATTATATACTCTTTCCTTAGAATCATGCTTGAAAAATTTACAGATGCTATCTATTCTGGAAACCTAATAGTCTGAAGAGCAAACCAGTATATTGGATTGCTTAATGTTAACATAATGGGCTATGACCAGAAAGACTGAAATTCATATAGGCAGTGTAAGCTTGAGTCAATTGGCCTGTCCTAGCCCAGTGGTCCCCAACCCCTGGGCTGCAGCCTTTTTAACAGGCTGTGGTCTTGGCAGGACCAGACCATGGAGACAAAGCTCCTGCCCCCCTGCACACACACTCCCCCACACGCAGATACGCACCTACGCCCCCCACATACACTCACGGATGCATGCATGCCCCACCCACACACGCAAAGATGCCCCACCTAACACAGATGGATGTCACACCACCACCCACTGAACTGGTCCGCGGTTTGAAAAAGGTTGGGGACCACTGTCCTAGCCTAACTGTGAAAATACAATATAGAGGAAACCACCACCCCCTCCAAATCTGGTATCATACTTTCAGCCACCATACACATCCATTAGCCCGGTGATGCCAAACCTTTTTGAGCCCCAGAGCCCAAACTGCAACACAAACCCAACCATGATCGTCGCGAAGAGTCCCACTCCTGCGGCCGCAAAACCGCCAGCCCAACACTCCCTGCTCTGCCTCGAGCTGCAGTCCTTAAAGGTGCAGATGGCAGGAGCTGGGTGTTTCCATACCTGATGTCCAGGGGTGTGTGTGTGTGTGTGTGTGTGTGTGTGGTGTGGGGTGTGTGTGTGTGTGTGTGTGTCAGCCGTTGCCTTCTTGGCTCTCCCTCCCTTCCCAAGACTTCTTCCCGAAAACCGGGATCGTAGGATGATTCCAAGGTAATTCCAAGTTCACAAAATCAAATTTTAAATTAAATTAAGCATTAAGATAAGTCTTAAGTTTCAAAACTATTAATAGCATCAAAGCCTATCTAAGATCTAAATGCTAAAGAAGTCCAAGGACCTACATTCTTACATCTTCCATTCTTATATCTAGCACTTTAGCAAGAAGTATGGGTGCAGTGATGAAGCTGAGAAGAAGACCAAACATGTCAGCTTTGTTATCTGGACTTCTGTGTCTTTGTTCAGGTCAGAAACATGGACTACAGAGGTGATAGGAACAGCAACCATTTGCCAATTAAATGAAATGTTTCATCCTATCCCATGTTTTGTCCCTGATTTGTTTTGGGAATATGATCTAAGTATGACTTGATTGAGTTGGTACACTTCTCGTTGGTACATCTTTAATCTTAGGGCATATTTCAACAACAATTTCAAAATGTGTTATTTTGACCCTTAATGATCAACAACATTAACTTTTTAAAAAGTAACAAGTAATGGCTGAAACCCTATTACTTAGTAAAGTAAGTCACACCAGAGAAGGCCCACTGAATCAGTGGAAATTTGGTGAGTCAACTACTCCATAAATTCCATTTATTCATATCAGCTTACTCTAGTTGCAATTTAGGAAAGTAAATAATAACTAGATTAGTCCTATTTGAATAAATGGAACTTATGGAGAAATTGACTCGTCAAATCAATAGGCCTATTCTAGAGTGATTTCCTACCAAAACAATAACATTTTATACATTGTTATTTAATGTTGCCATTTTCAATAAATTTCAATGATTTTTAAAACTGTGATTAACATTTTAAAAAAATCTTAATAGTCTATATTTGAATTATAACTAATTTTTAAATGATGTAATGGTAACATGTTAACAAGGCCCTCAAAGGTCTTAAAGTTTTAAAGGAAAATATACAGTAAAATCATGGCAATAATGTATAATTTAAATAGTTTAAACACAAAAAACTAAAAGAAACTGGAGCAATACACCAGAAATCACAATGTCAAGAGAACTGAAAGGGTAAAATTGAAGATTGAATGAAATGGAGCCAACTAGATGTTCCAAAGAAAGAAGATCCATAATCTTAGTGCCACTATCACAAGTCCTAGTCAATGAAACCACAGAGCAAGGCTTCTAACAAACATGGTAGGTGAGCAAAGAAGATGAAACTATAAGCAGCTTAATCCCAGGCTGCATTGAATGTGGAAGCATAGCCATGTTTTCACCCAGTGCAGCATCCTCACCATCCCCCAAAAATGTTTTTCCAGTCCTTCCACTCCTCCAGCAGGGTTGACATGAAAAAGTTGGAGTGGGTGGCAATGGTTGGGCATATGAATCTCATAGTCCATTTCTGTCTGCCTCAGGCAGGTGTCCTTTGTTGATCTTCTCCAGCTGTCTTTCCTCCTTTTTCCCCTGGCTGCGCTCTCTCTTTCCCCAGCTGAGCCACCTCTTAGCCATCTTAAAGGGGCTCAACAACTTGCCATGAGTGTGCCGGCTACCTGGCACGTTCACCCCATCACAGTCTGTTACTTAGGCAGAAAGCAGTACCTTGGATTGCACCCAGAAATAAAATAGAAGCCTGTACAATTCATGTAACACCACAGCAGGAAAGTCCAATTTTCTTCCCTATCTTAAATCTCTATTTTTGAATGCCATTTTGTAAAATAACTCTATGTATGTATTACAATACTAATCTTTCATTTCATGTGCAAGCAATCCTATTCATTTGCAATTTGATAAGCAGGTACAGAATTGCAGCCTATGGTTGATCTTAACACTGCACAAGCGTCTGGTGATATGGTCTCAAAGGAAGTTCTGCTGCTCTTGCCAGGATGTTGTGGTCATCTGCAAGAGCCTGCTCTTATGATCATTGGTGTTTCAAATAATTAGGCAGCCATTCTGTGACATACTGTTGTTTCTGTGGGTAATATTACTGTGAATTTTCAGAAATAGTAATATCTGGCTAGAGGAAGACCTTAGGTGACCAGCAGAAGATATAACATCTCTAACCCAACAATTCAGAAGACATAAGAATTAGTGCCAACATACAAGATGAAAATCTACTTTACTCTTTGGATCTTTTTTTGCACAGGTGAGAAAAATGCTATCGAACAACTTTCTGAAGTATGTCTTCTTATCTGTAATTTTCAGATGCATATTTGATACACTGAACAAAATTATGGAAGAATGTTCCATAAACTAAGACAGTGATGGCAAAGTGCAGCCTCTTGAAGATGTTGTAGTATACCTCCTATCAGCCCTAACCAGGAGTTCTTGGAGTTGCAACCAACAATACATTGATGGCTGCTTGCTCCTAGTCCCTGGTCTAAGATTACAAGAATCCTTAATAAGACAGTCTGCAATTGTAGTCATGGATCTGCTGTGCATCACTATTACCTCTTGGTCTGGGACAATATTCTTTCAAATGATTCCCTATGATACCATAGGCATCAGCATAAGCACATTTCCTAGGCCATAGGGATTAATGATGCAGTTCTAAGAAAGCTTACTCAGGACTGTAGCCTGGATTTCCCTGAATTCACCCTTAGGAATGCACTACAGGTTAGCTTAAGATAATGTGAATGCATTAGGAATCATGATGAAATGTGAAGGCTCAAAACTGCTGTCTATTTTCACAGTTCTGCTCTTTAGAGTATCTTGAGTTAGAAAGCTTAAATAGGTTAAAGTAGCAGGAAGGAGGATTTTATCATCAAGTCAAGAAAATAAATGCCAGAATAGGGGACATTCATGCATTGTCAGAAAATAGGGTACAAGCCTGCATAACATTTGTATATGCAATTTCATAGGCATCGAAGGACATTTAGACAAAGTTGTAATCCATGTTGCCATGCTAGAGAGACCATGGCCATGTGAGATGCATCCCTGCTTAGTCCTTGCCCAAATATTATATGTGGACGGCACCTTCAAAGTCCTGCTCTCCGTCCCTGCTTACATTTATTTATTTGTTTTACTTTTACCAATATATTTGTCTTGTACCAATATATATTTCAATTAAAGGGCTATTCTTTTTAAAGTATGGAACATGGCACTTCTAACTTGCTGGCTGCTTTCCAAAAAAGAAAAGAAAGAAAAAAGAAAAAGAAAACCCTCTGAAAATATTGCATTTCTGAATGATAATATCATGAAGATATCACCCATGCATTTTTAATTATACACAGGGACTACACAACTGTTTCTTTTTCTTTTTCTTTCAGAACACAAAGAGCAGTTGACACTTGAAATAAGATTTAATACAGTGGTGCCTCGCATAACGAGTGCACCATTTAATGACGAATCCGCATAGCGATCTATTTTTTAGATCGCTAATGCGCTCGCATTGCGATGTTTTAATGGGTAAAACATCGCATTACGATGATCGGTAAGCGTTTCGCTTACCGATCTTCACATTACGATGTTTCTAAAACAGCTGATCGGCGGTTCCAAAATGGCCGCCGCAACCATTTTCGCACCCTGCCCTCACTTACCGAGGGCGCGAAAATGGCGGCGCTATGGAGGAACTTCGCTGAACTGTGAGTTTGGGCCCCATAGGAACGCATTAAACAAAGTTTAATGCGTTCCTATGGCTTTTTCCGTTCCATTTAGCGATGTTTCCTCATAGCGACGATTAATCTGGAATGGATTAATCGTCGCTATACGGGGCACCACTGTATTAAAAAAATATTAGCAAGCCGGAAAAAGTTCAGAGGAGGGCAACAAGGATGATCAGGGGACTGGAAACCAAGCCCTATGAGGAAAGACTGAAAGAAGTGGGCATGTTTAGCCTTGAGAAAAGAAGGCTGAGGGGAGATTTGATAGCACTTTTCAAATACTTGACAGGCTGTCATACAGAGGAGGGGCAGGATCCATTCTCAATCATTTCAGATTACAGGACGTGTAATAATGGGCTCAGGTTTCAAGAAGCCGGATTTCATTCGAATATCAGGAAAAACATCTTAAATGTTAGAGTACAACAACGGAACCAGTTACCTCGGGGAGTAGTGAGTGCTTCAGCTCTGGAGGTATTCAAGAGAAAATTAGACAGCTATCTGCCAAATACCCTTTGGTATGGATTCTTGCATTGAACAGGGGGTTGGACCCGATGGTCTTATAGGCCTTTTCCAACTCCATTAGTCTATGATTCTGTGATATAAGAGGGCTAACATGAGTTTCAGCATTCAGAAGAGAATAAAGATTGACTTGTATAGTATGATGTTAACATTATATGAGCTTCTGACAACATTTTCCCCCAACAGATGGTTTCACAGCAGTTCTTTGCAGTAATAAAAAGATTGCCACAGAAGGTGCAACCATAACTGTAACCTGCCTCTATGATATAAGAAACTACAAGTTTAGCAAAAAGTACTGGTGTAAGGGAAGTTCCGAAATGACTTGTGATATTTTAGGAGACACAAAGAAGTTTGTAAAGTGGAACTACAAAAGCAGATTGATACTCAATGACAGCAGGAGAGGAACTTTTTTGGTCATCATGAAGCAACTGATGACTAATGATTCAGGAATGTATTGGTGTGGAATTGACCGACCCTACAGAGATGTAATGACTGCAATGCAACTGGAGGTTAATAAAGGTAAACTACTGACTTCATTGTCATGATGCAAATGAAAAACAATCCTGTTGCCAGGTTTGGTTGTAACCAATTATTTCTTGCTGAACAAGCACCAGTCATGCTACATCAGGGAGACCAAAAAACCCTGAGAACTGATCCACACCATTTTAACACTTAGGTGGCTAGTAATTATCTTGAGAATAGTTAGGAGCTTGGGTAGGATAATTCACCTGTGCCTTATGACCTCAGAGCACAATAATATATACCCGGTATACAGTATTTACATTTCTTTTCTGTTGAATTGGTCCCCCAGCATCCTCTACTGACAATAAGCTTTACATATCCGGAGAAGGGATCCCAGGATGATTGGGGGGGGGGGGCTAAAATATTGTAATTTTTGCTGTCACATCCCTTAGAGGTGCAAGAGAACATTTTGAACAAAATGTTTAAAAAGAAAAGTATTTATGGTGTGCAGAGGCTGGGATGCTAGAAAGCCATATTTAGACCCTGAGAGCCATGTGCAGTCTGCATTCTCACTGTCCTTCACATTTTACAGAGTAAAGTAAAGGTAAGTTAGGTAAAGGTAAAGGTTCCCCTTGACATTTAGTCCAGTCATGTCCGATTCTAGGGCACGGTGCTCAACCCTGTCTCCAAGCTGTAGAGCCAGCGTTTGTCCATAGACAGTTTCCGTGGTCACGTGGCCAGCGGGACTAGACATGGAACACCATTACCTTCCCACCTAGGTGGTACCTATTTGTCTACTTGCATTTTTACATGCTTTCGAACTGCTAGGTTGGCAGGAGCTGGGACAAGCGACGGGAGCTCATTCCGTTGCATGAATTTGATCTTACGACTGCTGGTCTTCTGCCCTTGCAGCACAGAGGCTTCTGCGGTTTAACCCGCAGAGCCACCATGTCCGTAAAGGTAAGTAAGTTCCTATAAATACCCACAAATATACTTTACTACTTAAGCTGCCAGTAATTATTTTGCAGCTTGAGCCTCCCATTCAAAATTGCCAGACATATGTAAAAATGTACTGCCTCCCCCATTCTTTTGCCTGCTGATGTGCAAGGGGCAGTAAAACTAACATTTTTCATTGTTACATACAGCTCCTGAAAAACACAAGAACTTGAAAACCACTACCTCTTCTACTACCTTCTCTTCAGCTGAAGTTACTACAGCTTTCCCAGTCCATTCCACATCTAATGCAAGTGTGTCTCTCCCATCCAATTCCATCTGCCATCATAACGTTAAGGAAATGTAAGAAGTGTTGTCTATCATTAGAATATTCAGTAGCTAACTTCACATAGAATCCAAGTTATCTTGTTTTGAAATTAATATTTTATTTGTGCTTTGACCGTTATACCAGCCATATTCACATCCTCAGTTTGGGTTACTTAATGTTTTCTATATGGAGCTGCCTTTGGAAAATGTTCAGAAACTTCAGTGGGTCCAAAATGCTAGGGCCAGATTGTTAACTGGAGCTGATTAAATAGTTTTAAACTGTTTTTATGTATCAGTTTTTAGTATGAAAGTGGAGTAATTGCTATTTAATATTATAACAATTTATTATTTTTTAGCTTTTAATATTGACTGTTTTAATTATTGTAAGCCACTTTGCATCCTTTTGGGAAGAAAGACAGGGTATAAATATAAAAAAATGAAAATGAATACCATGAAGTGAAAAGAAAGAGAAGACAATTTAAAAAAATACTCTATCAGCTGATTAGGGTAGGGAAGGAGAAAACCACTTTTTTCTTTATCAAAAGGATCACACTTAACATACAAATGACACTTTTCTTTGGTGTTTGAATGGTAACTCATGACCTGCAGTATATGGAAAAGACTGGTTTGCTCTGGATCTCTCCTCCCTATCTTTTTCTACTGGGTAGGGGGAGAAAAACAGCAATGTATTTGTGTGGTCCTTTTTGGGAGCTCTTTGCTAAAACTATGCCCACCTAGATTAAAATTATTGTGTTCAGACAAGGACTTATGGTGACCTGCCTCCTTCTGAATAACACACTGAGACCACACGGATTGCTCAAGGCTGCACAGATGGCAGAATATGTAACTCCCTCAGCCACACAACTCTAGGTGATGTTGGTTTGGTCCTTCACCCAGAAGGCACAGTGCAGATCAGACTCCTAGTCCTATTTGCAGTGAATTGTACCAGTTCCTACCTAGAGCAAGGCATGTGTTGTAAGCTGCTGTGTACATATTTGAATGTTTGCCTTAATACTCCAGTCATTTTGAATCATAACAAAATGACCTTTACAGTTTTTAAGATGTGCATTCTATATATTTCTGATTTAAAGTTACAAGGAATTTAATGTTGGTACAGAGCATCACAAGGACCCCACACTCTGTAGTACTTAATGGTTTAATTAACTCCTATATATAAACAAATGGCAGTATTTAAATCACATTGAAATAGATTGGGTGTACAGGTATATGTCTGTAAATACTACAAAGGAGAGCAAGAAGCTCACTTATACAGTATACTCAGTTCTGATCATAAGATACTACAGTATATCTATTATTACTAAGAATTTGTTTAGCTTGAGTTTCTAACCTTTTTCCCTCATAAAATGTCTAAGAACAATTTGATATATGAGACTCTCTTTTTCACTTCTCATTAGACACATTAGAAATTGGCATCTCATTCCATGGGCCTTTCTGCGCTGGTTGATCCTAGTTATTCTCATAACTACTTTTATCGTGACCTGTTGAGTAAACAAAAAGGCAAGTTTACCGTTAGTTGATAGCTTCCTTGTCTTTAGATCTCAGGATGTAAGAAAATAAATATCTATTTGATACAACTAATCTAATGGAGCTGTGTATAGATCAAATAAAAGATCCAACATCCATGCTGCTGAAGAACGCTATAATTTGTTGGGCAAATTTAAATTGAAATAAAGGGAATTTTTTTCCTTACACCCTGAGATTGTAGTTTCCCCTTCAAAATTAGATGTATTGGATGTGCCAATTCCTTTTGACTTCAAGAACTTCCAGATTGACAGTTTCTACTACTGTTTATCAAGTAATTAGTTAATCTATCATCCCTTCCTGAAAAGGTTTTATGTATTAAAAGACAGAAGAAGGAAGAGGAAAAGCACTTGTGAACAATTCATTTGTCAGACTATCAGGTATGAATATAGTGAGCAAACCTGAGTAAATGAAGCTGTATTGAAGGCATCTAGATGGGACCAATCATTCTTAAAATAATACATTTAGTAAAAAAAATACACTCAGTTGACTCATTCATGCATATCAAGGTCAGGGAACTTTTGGCCTACTGGATATGGTGAGCTCCCAGAAGCTGGCTCTGCCATCTAATTCCCCAGCTTACTGACTTCTCCAGTCAACAGAGATCAACAAGAACAAGCTGAATTAGCCAAATGAGTTGGATTTTTTTTTTAGGGGGGAAGAGAAGGGCAAATCAGTTTAAATACAACAGAGTTTAAACAATTTAAATTTAAACTATGCCACCCTGGAACCCTGATAATCAGAAATTAGAAATCTTTACCAAGCTACTGCTCATGTCTGATAGATCTAACAGTAGATCACCATCGATCTTCTCCTCATCCCAATCTGCACCATCCCAGAGTACTGGCAACATAATTCTCCCATGCAGTTGTCTTTTGTTTGTTTAATTTTTGTTTTTATTGCTTTTCAGCCTCTGCTCAACCCTGCTGTAGAAACCCCATTTTCGCTGAAGCAGCAAAGTACATAAATTCTCCATGTATTGCAGGTGACATATCAGGAATTGTGCTGGCCTTCTCTGTTTCCCAAGTTCTCCTAAGATTAAAGAAAGGAAGCTATTAGAAACATCAGAAGAAAAGGACAAACGGAAATAAACCAATCCCAAAGTCATCTATCAAAACTCTTATGGCATTGATAGTGAAATCTACTGGGAGTCCTCATCTATCAATCTGAGAAGGAAAAGCCACCAGGAGGTTGCACTCAACTGCATCCCAAGGTGGACATCGGGCCAAAAATGGACAATCTGAACTTTTCCATTGATCAAAGACGCAGCCTCTGCACACAGCTCACTTTATCTCCTTGCCAAAAAGACTAGTCAGTTCCACCCACCAATTACTCTAGAACTTGGTTCCATCTGTTCACCCATCAGGATCATGGTTTGTCTTAAAAATATTTCAACCTTTATCACAGATATTTAAAATAAAGCATACAGTATTGCAAAGTCTAAGTTACGAGTGGGCAACTTTTGGGTTTCCTGCTCCTGTTGGACTACAACTCTTGTCATTCTTTATCATTGGCTAGGCTAGCTAGACCTAATGGGAATTTTAGTGTTACAATGTCTGGAGGGCCACGTGTTGTCTAACGTCAGTCTAGGTAATGGGGAAAATACAATTTCTTTGCGGTTTCATTGCACATGCTATTGGAAGGTGGCCTTTGAACAATCTGCCCAGGTCCCAAGCCACTAGGTGAACATTAACTTAACTTACCCAACCACCTTGCCTTTCAATATAGCCTCTCACTTCAGGATTTCCATTGATTGTCTGTATGAGTAAGTCTGGTTCCACTACAGCAGGAGCACTCCGTGCGAGGCACTTGAACAGTTTCACAGCAACAGCCAGGAAGCTTTGTTCATACTCCAGCCCAGAATTACGACTCAGCTGCTCTATTGTTTCTCTGAATTTCTTCAGCTGTGAATGCAGAGTGGAGGTTTCTAAAACAGACAGTCTGATGCAAGAGAAAAGAACCAGCCAGCACAGTGGGGAAACAGCTACAGTGCACTGAACATTTTCAATATAAATCTCCTTATCAATTGGTCCATAAGTCAATATTTTTTTTAATTTTGTGAACCAACATTACTTTTCATAGTCACAGCTCCTGAAATATTACCACAACATTCAGGATAGAGTAGGTCACCTCAGGTAAAATATGTTTTACACAGTAGTTTGTAGCCTGGAAATATTGTTCTAGAATGCTAGATCCCTCCTGTACCAGGGGAAGAATCTACTGAAGACTCATACAGACCCCTTGCAGAAAGAGTGTCCATACTGTCACTTCCTACTTGCTGTACTCTCTCCTTTTCATATTCAGCAATCTAAGCCATATGTTTAAGGTCCATAAGGTAAAGGTAATGGTTCCCCTTGACAATTTGTCCAGTCATGTCCAACTCTAGGGGGTGGTGCTCATCCTTGTTTCCAAGCCATAGAGCTAGTGTTTTGTTTGTACACAGTTTCTGTGGTCACGTGGCCAGTGTGACTAGACACATACCATGTTTCCCCAAAAATATGACAGGGTCTTATATTAATTTTTGCTCCAAAAAAACGCATTAGGGCTTATTTTATCCAAAAAAGGACCTCTCTCCTTTTTGAACACAGTGAGTCGAGCAGAGATGTTCAGCGCTCCGTCTTGCCCGGTAATTTTTGATTCCTTTCAGCCTGTCACGCCTGATTCTGTGGCCAGGGCGCTTGATCGCTGTCGTGCCACCACCTCCTCCCTTGCCCCTTGCCCGGCCTGGCTAATCAAAGCAGCCAGGCCTACAACAACGGAATGGGCCACTGTAATAATTAATGGGTCTTTCCTTGAGGGCAGATTTCCATCTGCCCTCAAGGAGACACTCATTAGGCCCATTAGGAAGAAACCCAGTTTGGTGGTGGACGAAATTGGCAATTACTGTATAGGCCTGTCGCCAATGTTTCTTTCCTAAGCAAGGTGGTTGAGAGAGTGGTGGCCGACCAGCTCCAGACGCACCTGGATGAAACAGATGCCCTGGATCCATTTCAGTCGGGCTTCAGGCCGCGCCATGGTACAGAAATGGCATTGGTCGCCCTGTGTGATGACCTATTGAGGGAGGCTGACAGGGGCAAAGTGTCTCTGCTGGTCCTCCTCGACATCTCAGCAGCCTTTGATACCATTGACCATAGTATCCTCCTGGGGAGGCTCTCTGAGCTGGGAATTGGTGGCCAGGCACTGGCCTGGCTTGGTTCCTTTTTAGAGGACGGCCCCCAGAGAGTACAGCTTGGGGAGAGTGTTTCAGTCCCGTGGAGTTTCAATTGTGGTGTTCCACAGGGGTCAATTATCTCCCCAATGCTGTTCAACATCTACATGAGGCCACTGGGTGGGGTCATCAGGGGGTGTGGAGCCCTGTGTCATCAGTACGCTGATGACACTCAGCTCTACATCTCTTTTCCACCTACCGCAGGAGATGCCGTTCTGTCCCTTCAGCGCTGCCTGGGGACTGTACTGCAATGGATGCAGGAGAACGGGCTGAGGCTTAACCTGGACAAGACAGAGGTACTGAGGGTGGGCGCCCCCACAGTTGGGGGCCTGGGAAACTCCCTCACTTTTTTGGGGGGTGACTCTTCCCGTTAAGGATGGGGTCCGCAGCTTGTGGATCCATCTGGACCCGGCGCTCACTATGGAAACTCAGGTGGCGTCGGTGGTCCATTCCGCCTTTTTTCATCTTAGGCGGATAGCCCAGCTGCGGTCCTATCTATGGGGCGCTCACTACCTTGGTACATGCTCTCGCAATCTCAAGATTAGACCACTGTAAAGCGCTCTACATGGGGCTGCTTTTGAGGCTGTTGCGGTGGTGCAGAATGCAGCGGCCAGACTTCTCAGTGGAGTGAAAAAATACCAACATCTCACCCACACTGGCCGCATTGCATTGGCTGCCCATCCGGTTCCGCATCGACTTCAAAGTGTTGATGCTTACGTATAAAGCCCTAAACGGTTTAGGGCCTCAATACTTGGCGGAATGCCTACTCCCACCAAGATCTACTCATGTCACTCGTGCGAGCCAGGAGGTGAGGCTGAGGAGCCTAACGCCGAGGGAGGCCCGGAAGGAAAAGACAAGAAATCGGGCCTTCTCGGCGGTGGCTCCTCGCCTCTGGAATAATCTACTCCCTGAGATTTGAGCGGCTCCCTCGCTGAGTATCTTTAAAAATCAACTTAAAACATGGATGTTTCAGCAGGCCTTCCGCCCAGCCAATTCCTGATCTCCCCTTTCTCCTCTCCCCCATTGTTTTTCCCATCTTGTTGAAATGTCTTCCATTATGTAAAAATCGTTTTTATATATTTCCCTATTGTGTATGTTGTCAGCCTCCTAGAGTGGTCTTAACCGACTAGATAGGCGGGATATAAATAAAATAAACAAAAAAATAAAAAAATAATAATTTTCAGGGGATGTTTATTCAAATGCAGTCATGTCATCTTCTGGTTGCTGCACAATGGTGGAAGGTCAACTTTCACTTAACTGGGGCTTATTTTGGGGTAGCACTTATATTATGAACATCCTGAAAATTCATACTAGGGCTTATTTTCAGGTTGTCTTATTTTTGGAGAAACAGGGTAGTCTACTCCATAGCTCCTGCAAACGTCTTTTTTTCCTGTAGTTTGACTACCTCTGGTCACACATGAACTAATGTTGCCTATCTTTGTTTCACCACTATTACATGTAGGTTACCTTCGGCATTTTTTCCTAACACACAGGAACGTTTTCTAAACTAGAGACTGGGAGGGTGCATTACCATGTTTTCCTCTTGAAGAATTCCTTGTACTTTTGCCTCTACTTCTGCATTATACTCATCTCCTAGGCGTTGCAGTGTCTTGGCAATAGCAGCTGGGTCAAAGGTGCCTGCAGAGGTAACTGAAGTTTCAATGAAAGCAAAAAGAGTTGCAGTTTTTATTTCTGTGCAAATACATTTTCACTCAAATCCTAGCCTTATTATGACATAAGTATGTGTTCTGTGTATGTCTCAGTATAGATCTCCTATCCCAAAGTCATAGAATCAAACATGCAACTACGAAACTGAGCTAGAGTGTCAATTATGGTAGATAGAAGTTGATGCAAGGAACGCTAATCAAATTTGCAGATGACACAAAATTGGGTGGAATCGCTAATGCCCTAGTGCATTTATCCCTGTTCAATTTCATTCTGTTTTCAGCCTAGTGCTCAAGCCTATCTAGATCATTTTGAATGTTGTTTCTGTCTCCTAGACTAGAAGACAGAAACAAAATTCAAAATGATCTAGATAGGCTTGAGCACTGGGCTGAAAACAGAATGAAATTCAACAGGGATAAATGCAAAGTACTACACCTAGGAAAATGAAACCAAACACACAGTTAAAAGATGGGGGCTACCTGTGTCAGCAATACTACGAGCGAGAAGGATCTTGGAATTGTCATTGATCACAAGTGTGATGTGGCTACAAAAAAGGCAAATGTTATTTTAGGCTGCATAAATAGAAGTACAGTCTCCAAGTCCCACGAGGTGTTAGTTCCCCTCTATTCGGCACTTGTTAGGCCTTATCTTGAGTACTGTGTCCTGTTCTGGACACCACAGTTCAAGGAGGATGCTGACAAATTGGAACAAGTTTAGAGGAGGAAAAAGAAGATGATTAGGGGCTGGAAACCAAGCCCTATGAGGAAAGATTGAAAGAACCTAGCATATTTAGCCTGGAGAAAAGAAGACTGCTGGGAGATACCACACTTTTCAAATGCTTGGAAGGCCGCCATACAGAGGAGTGGCAGGACCTGTTCCCAATCGACCCAGAGTGCAGGACACACAACAATGGGCTCAAGTTACAGGAAGCCAGATTTTGGTTGAATAGAAGGAAAAACTTCCTAAGTGTTAGAGCAGTACAGCATTGGAACCAATTACCTTCAGAGGTGCTGAGTGCTCCAACACTGGAGGCATTCAAGAGAAATTTAAACAACTACCTGGTAGATATCCTTTGATTTGTATTCCTGCATTAAGCAGGGGGTTGGACTCAATGATCTTATAAACCCCTTCCAACTTCATGATTCTATGAAAACATGTGGCTAAAATAAAATGGTATTAAATGCAGACAAAGGCACATAGGTTTTCAAGCAAGTAGCTATGAGATCATATCCCCGCAGCTTTCTAAAATCAGTGTGTTAGAAATGGAATGTCAAGCTAATAGAAAAATTGCAGTTCAAGTCACAATCATCCAGAAAAACTGTCTTCATTGTTACAGCTAAGTTTGATATAATGGCAAGAGGCTAATGGGAGGTACTTTACTCCCAAATAGACTACAACTGTCTGTCCTCTTAAAAAAATTATCCTCACCCCAGAAAAGGATTTCATGTAGCTTAGAGAAAGAAAGATCAATTAGATGCAAATATGCCTTCTGCTGTGTAACATCTCCAATGCTGGCTTTTTCTGGTCCAATCTGCACCATTCTAGAATATGAATCCCAAAATAATAGGTTTCTCCTTATCTCTAAAGCTGACATAAGGGCATGCACACATACTTTTACTGCTGGCAGAAGACACCAAGGAGATTAATCTAATGTGTAGCTTCCAATAACTAGTACCGTGTATACTAGTATATTTCTATCATTGACCCACATCCAAAAGACCACTGTGTATACATGATGAGACAGTCATTCTCTAAAGCATTATCTATTATTGAGGAACATTAGGGTTTTTTCCCTGCCTTTCACTTAACATTAGCCTGATTTAAAGGGTGGTGAGTTTTTGACAGCGACCCAAGATGCAATGACCTTTAGAGCAGTATCCCACTTGCTGAGGCAGAGCCTTCATAACATCATGACAATACGATATCCTCTAAACCCATTTAATTAATGGTGTTTGCATAGGTATGACTTACTGTTCAGCAGTTGATTCAATAAGCCTACTTTGATTGAGCAGCAGTTAGGTTTAGGCCCTAATAACGAATCGCTTCACACTTTAATAGAATAAAAGAGGCTTTTCCACTTCCATGTAAATTCAAACAGAATTTCCTGACTCCAAAGTTATTCATTAGGAAAGTAACACATTTCCCCACAAACATTCTTACCTCTCAGACCTTGATACCTAACTTCACACTTGGCTTGTAGGCCACGAAAACACGTTCGAGATTTCTCCTGGATTAAGTCGTTAAATAATACTTCCACAATTTTCTTTGTTTGTTCTTCAAAGGTCATAGAGTTCATCATGTTCGTGCGTCTCTGTTACACCTACACGTTGCTGATGTACTTTTCCAACAGTTATTCTGCCCCTGCAGAAGAGAGACACGATCTCTCTAGCAGCTTCCCTTCTTCCACATCAGGACAAATGAATAAAGCTTTACACTTTTAAGAGCAAGCTAGCTATCTTGCAAGAGGAAGTTTGCTCTTATTATGCTGTAGCTACACGCCCACAATATTGGCATTAACAAAGGATCAGTACAAAGCAATAAAGGACATTTTTTTTCCAGAAGGCTTGTGTGAGTTGCATCCGTTGGTTTTTGTATTTTCTCCTTGCAGGAAACTCAGCAGTGCATTTTATAATCTTGCATATGAAAGCAGCTGCAAACTAATATATTGCTCTCACATTGTATCTCAACGGGAATTTCATAGAGTATGTATGCCCATATTAAAGAGAACTTATTGTATCTGCTTTTCACAGTTCTGTTATCACAACTGTGCCTTGCTTACCAGTCTGTTTCATAACAAGGTGTATTTTGCAACCATTTCTGCAGAATGCCATGCCTCAATACATTATCAACCCTAATAATATATTTTGGAATGAAACACATAAATATTAAAGAATAGTGGACCAGGATGAATAAAAGGTTTATTCAGAGTAAAATGGACCTTATGCTAGTCCAGTACACCACACATTTGCTTAGTTTCTTGCTACAATTTGTCATCTGTAACAAATGAAGACAGTACAAATTTAGTATTTATTGTCCAGTGTTATTCATATTCCTTGAAGCCCATTGTTATCTTCCATCCACTTGAAAAGCATATTGGAAAACCTATTCACACACATCCTGACATTTTTTGCATCAGGTATTGGCTGCACTGGAAAAATGGAGAGCAATCCCTCCTTCATTACAATCATTCAACTGTGCCTCTGAACTTTGTCTATTTTGGATTTTTTAAAATCTGGAAACTGGGGATTAGTTCTTAAGAGTGGACCCTTGAGAAGAGGATGGATGTGATTTAAATCAGATTTTAAATTTTAAATTGTGGTTTAAATCAATGTGATGTTTTTTAAAATCATTTATTTTTATCCACTCTGCTTGTAAATACAAGAGGTCTGGAATTGGGGAAAAGATCTACCTCTAATACAACTACTACAGACTATAACATCTACTAGATATTTGGTACTATAGAAAACATAGAAATGTCAATACAGAATATTCACTTATTATCCTTATTTCAGTTACTGAAACTACAGTAAAAATCCACTTCTCAAAATAATTCAGGAAATGGATAACCCTTCATTGGATGCATATGACAGGCAGACTACATTGGAACCTCTCCTAGATTCAGTATCTCATGGAGATGGAATGAGCTACAAACCACTATGAATCATCTCTATTTCATTTTTCTGATTTTTTTGAAATCCTGAGGTTCATCTATGTTAGCTCTTTTAAAAGGAAAAAGTAGTCTGTTTCTCTATAAACCTTCTGACTTCTAGTAAAAGGCACTTCCTTCTATATTAACTTTCATTTTCTCTTCCCGTACTGTGGTAGCTGTTCCTTCCTTAATCTCACAAAAGCCAGAGCCTCATAGCTATTTCGTTTCCAAAGTGGGATTCAGTACTGAAATATTAGTTAATTAATTAAGAAAAAGTATATTTGATAAAAGGGTAACAGGCTTCTGTGTGCAATATTTATTTAAAAACTACGGCTTGCTTTATATACAATTTCTCATCGCTGAATATCAGAGGAGAATCAGTCAAAGGGCAAAAGCTCTCACTTCCTTATAGACTTTTAACAAACAAATGAAGCAGCAAAGGGCAACCCACACCTAGGGCAACATGCAGCTCTCACCATAGTTTCATATCTTCTGAAAGGGATCAATTCAGACTTTTTGCAAAGGTAATTTGGCTTTTGCCTAGCAAGCCACTGCGCAGAAAAAGAGAATGAAACAGAAGAGAAAATGGTAGAAGAGGAAGAGATGTGGCCCAACTACTTTGCTTCTAGCTGTCTTGCCTGGAATACTGGCAGTTATCCTCTAAAAAATGAAGTATTGATTTTTCAAAATTCCACCCCCAATGACTTCTGGGTTCCACCCTTCCCACTGCCAATTGGATTCTCTGTCAGATTACCCATGGAAGATTGCGGCCATCAGCAGAAAAAAGTTTCCCTGCCCCTGCAATGATGTAGCAGTACTGTACTTTTATTCTTTTGACATAGTGATGCTCTTAGTGACTCTTTCCAGGCACTATACCTCACACTCAATTTCCCACCACAGTGTTTCAACTCCCTTTCCTACTGCTACAATTCTGTATGCAGCTCACTAGTTCACAGCAAAGATATTCCTATTTAATGTCTCCAAATAACAAGTGTTACTTTTGCCTCCTCATTCACTGCTTATTCTTTTCTAGGCTACATACTGTTCTTGCTGGCACCAACAGTTGCTCTCAGTCAGCTGTGGGGCTTTGCCACAGCTTTACTGATCATGCACAGGCGCTGTGCGCTAGTTTGAAGAATGCAGTAGAATAAGTTGTACAAAAAAAATATACTGGTGCATCCCACTTAATAGCAGAGGTCAGAATTAGAAGAAAACATTCAAGCTTGCAGTCCCACCACTGTTTCTAATACTGTTTTTAGGACTGAGATGAAGGCCCGGAGTGCCTCAGGTTTGTTTTCACTCTGCTTCACCAACATTTGCATCTGTGAGCCCCCAGTCTCAAGCAGCAGCTCAGTCAGGAAAAGGCAGCCAGTGTCATCCTGGGCTCCCAAGTAGGCTTTCCACATCTGGGAACCAGCCTTGCTCTTTGCAATAGTCTGGACATGGACCACTTGCAGTGCAGCTTGTATGGTGTCTGGCTCCACGGTTGCTTGCCAAGGAACAGCCTGTTGGCAGCCCACACCTAGATTTAGCCATGTCCTCTCAAACTGCTCTGCAGTGAGACTTGTGCTGGGCAACAGGGTAAGACCACGTGAAATGGTGTTATCAGAAAGAACACTCACATTCTTTTCTGCCACCAGCTGGTCTGAAAGAAAAGAAACAGAAACCTTGTTTGTTAGGCAGTAAGATTACTCATTTTAACATTTTAAAAGTTTTAATTATTTTGGCTTTTGTAGCATCATTTATTTTAAATCTTTTATTAATCAGTTTTAATTAAAGCTGTTAGTTATTTTAAAGGATTATTTTTTAGCAGAAAGCAGGGACAAAAATGCATCAGTGTATAAAAAAAATATTAAAACAATGTCAGAGTTTTAATATATTTATTTAAAACTTTTACAGTATAGCCCTCTGTATATCACAGGATCTCAGGGCAGTTTCAAACACATATAAAATAACTTAAAACACAAGTTGTTTGAGGAGGCGGAGCTTTGTTGCAGCAAAGACCGGTCAGGTTTCATCCTGAAACTGAACGAGACCACTCAGTTTCGACCACTCCAAATGTGGGGGGAAAGAACTTTTACTAGGAGAAGTGAAAGTCTGAAGCAACAGAATCTGACTGAGAAGGGAGAGAGTCCAGGGATTCCTGGATTTGCCTCTCTCTGGAGTTGTATCTGGAAGGAGAAACTGTCTGGGCGCCATTTTTAGCAAAGAGCTGTGAATGCCCCAAGGACAGGGAGTGGAAAAATACTATTTTATATATTTTTTTTAATACTATATTATTTTGGAAAATAATCTTGATCAAAACTTGAAGTGGCTTGTTTTACATATGGAACTTTTAAGGACCTAAACAATGAAGAAAGTGGGTGCAATCTGTCAGAGAAATTTACTAGATCTATTTTGGCCAGACTGGCGAGCATTGCCCCCCCCCTTCATTTTAGGCTTGACTAGAAGAAACATAAACAAACCAAAAAGCGGGTGGGGAGGAGAAAATGACTTTGCTTGAATTATGGCAATACAACTCGCATCCACCGGACAATATAACCATAAACCACTGATGGATTTAAATTGGTGAAGCAGCCAGAAAGAGTCTTGGGAAAAGATTTGACCAGAAGGAGGACACTCCCCCCTGTCGGAGGCAGGGGAGAGAGATTGAATTGTAAATCTTTTCTACCCCCAAGAGATAAGCTATTACAAGTCAAGTCAAGAACCTTTATTGGCATCTGAAAAGAAACATATAACACAACAGGCAACAGTCCTGCCCAGGACTGTTGAGGATGAGAAGTGTATGCCCAGTTAGAGAGGAAACAAAAAGGATGAGTGGCATAAATACTGATGACACATAGCAAAACAAACATAATTCATTTCATTCAGCGAGGCTTTGGCAAACCTGGGAAGTTGCTGATTACATCCCATGAGGATAGAACAAGAAGTGTGTTGGAAATTGTGACCTGCGTCATTGTATTAATAGATTGATATATTTGGCCATCTGCCTGGCATAGATTTTGTTCTCTCCTAGCAGGAGAGTGTACAAAATTCCCTCCTCTGATCGACCAGGTAAACTAGCAAGAATTTGCTCCAAATCAGATGCACGGATATCATTGTATACTGTATAATAAAGCAGCGTATGTGCCAAGGGCCCCAGAATTACAAGGGCAGAGCTGTGTTTCCATTGGTTGTGAGTTAAATCTACCAAATAAAACATTAGATGGAAGCACACTGCATCTTGCAAGAATGAAGGCACACTGTTCATGTGGGCTATCTATAATATGCAGATAACTGGCTAATTTGTCAATGTGTAGAGGGAATTGTAAGTTTAAAGGTGAACAAACTTTACGGGCTGCCCCCAAAAGGCCTTGCCTTTCGGTGTCCAAAAGCCTAACTTTTAGCAGTTTATATGACTGTATAAAAAATAAAGCACCCAATTGGTCTAGTGAAATGCCCAGAGTTTGAACCTTTTGAATGAACAGTTTTAAGGCAGGGAGAATGGAAGGAGTCAGACAGGATGCCCCTAATTAAGGGGTCTTTGTCTAGCAGGAAACAAATTCTTAGGCAGTACTTAAATTGTCTCAACCATACTTGTGTGTTCAGTTTAGTTAATCCAGCCTCCAAGCACAAAGCTGCATACAGCACACAGTGGGCAACAGCAAAGATTTTGTAGAGGAAATAGGACTGGAGTCTTTTCACAGAAGAGTTGAAGGCCTTAAGCCAGATTGGGATCCCATACAAGACTTGGGAGACAGCCTTAGCTTTGAATACCCTTAGGATGGCAAGGATGTTTGTGTTGCCCCATGCATAAAAAAGCAAAGTATCGCTTGCCTCACAGTGGGGAACAGCAAATATTTTGTAGAGGAAATAGGCCTGGAGTCTTGTCACCGAAGAGTTGAAGGCCTCGAGTCAACTCTTGTATGGGATCCCATACAAGAGTTGGGAGATAGCCTTAGCTTTGAATACCCTTAGGATGGCAAGGATGTTTGTGTTGCCCCATGCATAAAAAAGCAAAGTATCGCTTGCATAGATAGCCTTACCGCTTTAGTAATAATGTGGCTATTACAGTGAACATCTATTGTTTCTACTAGCTGCTGGAAAGAAACCCAGATAATATTTCCAACAATGCAACAAGACATTGTCAAGAATGTTCAAAACATTTATTGGAATACAACAGATAGAAGCAGAGATAGACCAGCTATTTGAACAAATTAAAGATGTAGGGACACAAATGGAATTTACAGTGAAGACGGAGGAAAAAACAAAACTGCGACAGGAATTAAATTTTTTAGACTCACAAACAGAGACAAACAATATTATCTTCAAACCCCAGAAGCCTTCAGGAGAAAAATATGAAGAAAGAGCACAACGGAAACTCAGACTCTCAACCCCTCTTACAGAAATACCAGCAGTAGAAGTGCAACCAATGTTGAACTTTACAACAAAAGTTAGGGGAGTGGAAATGGTGGGATATACTACGCTGTGGTGGATAGGAAAAAATACAAGGGAACAGTATATGGAGTGGATGAAACTTTTGGGAGCAAATTTGAGTAAACATGAATGCTCAATAAAATGGAAGATGAAAACATGACATGATAAAAGGGGCACACAATATTGGTTAGAATACTAATGTAGAGCAGTGAGTATAAATTTTACAGAATAAGAAAAGAGAAGATGTGCTATAGATGGTTAAAGGATGGGACTGTTAAACTTAAATAGTTAAATGTTAAATTTAAGAGGGTATTTTGTGATGAAAGAATATATGATAAAATAGTCACAAACTAATGGTTATATAACATTGATTTAGAGCAATAGATATAAACTTGGCAGAATAATATCAAACCTATAAAATTAGTAAGTTTAAAGATAAAAAGAAAGAGATGGTTCAAGAAAAGAGAATATTAGTATATTTTGGAAAACTGATATATTCTTTTTTCTTTGTATAATTGCCTGAAAGAATATATGATAAAATAGTCACAAACTAATGGTTATATAACATTGATTTAGAGCAATAGATATAAACTTGGCAGAATAATATCAAACCTATAAAATTAGTAAGTTTAAAGATAAAAAGAAAGAGATGGTTCAAGAAAAGAGAATATTAGTATATTTTGGAAAACTGGTATATTCTTTTTTCTTTGTATAATTTCCTTTTTAAATATAATTGCATAAGCAGATGTAAGAATACTTTTCACTCCCTGGAATTTTACCCTTTCCTGCCCTTCCCTTCGCTTCCCCATCTATCTGGTCCCCCTATTCCTACCATAACCCCTATCCTTATGAAAATTTAAAAAAAACCAAAAATGTTGTTTAAAACAATTTAAAATTACATGACAGCAACACATTGCAACATTATAAATCAGAATTCATATTCAGACTGAACTGAGGGTGTGACTATACTGGAGCGCTGAACTGGAATGATTCACCTCTACTGGAATACGATTCTCAGCCCACATTATGTCTGAAATCACCATCAGTGCTCACACAGGGGCTGCAGATTGATTTGAGAGTTCACCGTTCATGTTAATCGCCCTGCAGCCCATAGCACCCCCCTTTGTCCTGGCCCTGCTTCTGCTGATCCTTTCATGGTTTCCAGCCCAGAGGAGTCCCCTGCCCCAGAATGAGAAAAGGAGGGGGGGGAAGGCACATCCAAAAACCATGGAAAATGTTGGCTTTAAAGAGGATGCTCACACAGCACAATGAGACTCTGCCTGAGGCGTGGGTAAAACCTTAACTGAACCATCTCTAAAATCCCCATACAGGGTAGGATTCTTATATGTGCAGCCAGGAAAGAGCCACGATGTGTTGGCTGGATGTCAGGATACTGGCAGGGGCAGATGGGGAAGAAGAAGAAAAGTTGCAAGTGTTTCCTGATATGGTTCAGGAGGATTCAGAGAGGAGGCATGTGCCAGCACAAACAAACCAAGCTGACTTGTTTGCAGACAAATCTCTCTTCTCTGGGGATCCTCCCCACTCAAACTTCAGACTACTACATATCTGAAAAACCTTTCTGTTGAAAACTAATATGTAAAGGTACTTCACAGTCTCAGAATACAGAACATCAAAAGCCTAAACAGTGATTTTGCGAAACGCATCATGCTTTTCAACTCAGAATGATTCCATTCAGTATCACCCTTTTCCCACCACTCATCAGTTACTCTCTTCCCTTACTTTGAAGTAATACACTGTACATGCAGGAATTACTGATCTCTGGTGACATATAGCTTTAAATTTGTTTAAACTAGTTGATGTCACCAGAGATCAGTAGTTCCCGCATGCATTACTTCAAAGTAAGAGAAAGCAACAACTGATAGGTGGTAGGAAGTGGTGATCCCTTGAGGAATCATTATCAGTTGTGAATCATGAGGTATTTTACAAAATTCCTGTTCAAACTTTTGCTCTTTTGTACTTTAAGACTGTTAAGTGCCTTTATGTGTTGTTTTTCTATAGAAAATATGTGGTCAGTAAACAATAATTCAAATTAATCTGTTTAATAAAAGGAGTATTTTCTCCTTTATATCGCGCCCATCTGGTCGACCAGACCAGATGGTCGGGGTATAAATAAATAAAATAAAATAAAATAAAATAAATAAAATAAATCCCGCAGTATTTGACCATGTAGTTACACTCTGAGACAGTGAAGAGCATCTTGCTAAATCAGATACCTAGCACAGCATCTTTCTAGTTAGCATTAAGATAAACCAAACACAGAAAGAAAAAAGAGAGGGCTCCATAGCCAACTGAGTTTGTTACCTTTGCTCACTACTGCAGAACGTTCACAGGGAGGATCAGCATGGTGAAAATCCATCTGGTTGGCCGTCATGGTTGCCCACTGTTCTTTGCCATATATGGGCACCAAAGAGTTAAAGTCAGAGGCCCATGCATTCACAGAACTTTCTGCTTGCTGTTCCAAAAGCCGCAGAGAGTGATCAGAAGTGGGGCTGCACAGAATCCTTTTTGTCTCTTCTATACCAGCTTGCAAAAGGCGATAGTAGAACAGAGCACGGTCCCGAACTGTCATGTCTTTCTCTTCTTCTGAAGGAAAGAAAAATACGCTTGCTCATAACAAATAGCACAGTATTTTTTCAACTCAGATCTTAGAGATCCTTTACTAAAAGACTAAGTGCACCTCTGAAGGATAGGTCCTTTCCCACCTTTTAGATATTTGACACTAGCAGCAGGAGGTAAAGAAATACTAGTAGTAAGGTATTTTTCGCAGCATAGTCTGCTGTAGGGACAACATCAAGGAGTCTCATCAAACCTAGAAGACTAAGTGAAGAGCGTCACTGCATCTAAAGAAGTGGGCTACAATACAAAAAAGCTTGCCCCCAAAAATGGTTAGTCTTTAGGTAAAGGTAAAGGTTTCCCTTGGCATTTAGTCCAGTCGTGTCTGACTCTAGGGCACGGTGCTCATCCCCGTTTCCAAGCCATAGAGCCAGCGTTTGTCCAAAGACAGTTTCCATGGTCACATGGCCAGTGCGACTAGACACGGAACGCTGTTACCTTCCCACTGTGGTGGTACCCATTTATCTACTTGCATTTTTACATGCTTTCGAACTACTAGGTTGGCAGGAGCTGGGGCAAGCGACAGGAGCTCATTCTGTCCCATGAATTTGATCTTACGACGGCTGGTCTTCTGACCCTGCAGCACAGAGGCTTCTGCGGTTTAACCCACAGTGCCACCATGTCCCTGGTTTGTCTTTAAGGTGCCACAAAAATGTTTGTTGACTGATTAAAGGAGAATTATTCAAAATCAATCAGTCTGGCTTTGAAATCCGTGTATCTAATGTTTCTGTCATGCAATTCTCAATTCACTTGTGAGTTTTACAACTCCTTTCCCCAAAGGAGAAATATGCTCACCTACTTCATGATACAGCAGCCATGTGAGAAGAAGGTGTCCTTACCTATGCAGTAATAGAGTAATCGACCCAACATGTCCTGACACTCAGCTGGGCGTGCTATGAAAAGCCGGACCATTGATGTCAGCAGTTCCATCTTCACAACTGAGAATGTCTCTGACTTCACATTCTCTACAAAATCTTCCAAGATATAGGGAGCATTGGGAATTCTCTCTCCATGCACTCCCAGCAGCCAGATTAATGCCTGCTTGCCCTGAAAAATTAAACCAGAATACTTCCCATTCAGGACATTAATAACAATGACTATGTGTCATCAAGTCAATTCTGACTTATGGTGACCATTTTCAAGGTTTTCCAGATACAGAATACTCAAAAATGGTTTACCATTTCCTTCTTCTGGGGATGCTTCAGGACCATACAGCTTGCCCAAGACCACACAGGATAGTACGTCTCCAGAGAGGCCCCAGTGGGGAATTGAACTCCCAACCTCTGGCTCCAAGGCCAGATACCAAAGCCACTGAGCTATCCAGCCAGCTCAGGACCACATTAGTCTAGCTAACATTCAGTAGTACTGAGAGACAGCTCACATGACAAAATTGCCATGCCAAGAATGTGGACTAAGCAGATATGTGCTCAGTGAAGTGGGTTCAGAGACTACTACATTCACACTAGATTAATTACAGTATTCTAATTCCTTGTATAGCATCAATTTGATTTGGAGAATCTTGACATTATAAAATACTAGTCAGTGGATGCTATCTGGACACTTGAGTGCTGCCTGGCTTCAGTTCTAGACTGGATCACAACAAGCAAGCTGAAACTAAAGATGAAAAGGAGTCCATCCTCTTCAACCCCTAAATGGTTTAGGATCTCAATACCTAGTGGAACGCCTTTTCCCACCTAGATCTACTTGAATTACTCACTATAGCCAGGAAAGATGGTTGAGGGGCCTAACGCCAAGGGAAGCCCAGAAAGAAAGAAAAAGAAACCGGGCCTTCTCGGCAGTGGCCCCTCGACTTTGGAACAGTCTCCCGTCAGAGATTTGCCTGGCTCCCTCACTGGGTGTTTTTAAGAGCCAAATTAAGACCTGGCTCTTCAGGCAGGCCTTCCCTCCTGTCACTACTTGATCTTTACTTTTCTATCTTTATTTTTTTGTTTTACTTTTCCACTTTGATCTTTACCTTTCCAACTTGAATGATATCACTGTTGTTGTTTTAAAATTTTAATTGTTTTTATGCTATTTCTATTGTAAGCTGCCCAGAGTAGACGTCGTCTAATTGGGTGGGGCATAAATTTAATTAATTAATTAATTAATAGATAAATAAGAAAGAATTAATGGCCACATAAACAGAAAAGAATGGACAGTTCTAATGATGATGGGGCAGATAAACTCCTGCTTCTGGGCAGCATCAAGGTGGAAAGTGAAGCTGGCGAAGGATCTTGCACAGGAAATAGCAGTGACAAGCTAACTCCCAAGCTAATATTGCACAGAAGATGGTCATGGTAAACCACTTCTGAATATTTTATACCTCAAAAAACCTGTGATGAGCCAATCCAAAACTAAACAAGAGACTGTGCAAGAGATGCAACTCCTAGGCCAAGAGGCACTTACTCTGCTACCAGGGAAGGGCAAACAGCACTGTTGCTAATGAAGCAACTAGAGTAAGCTGTAAGAATGTCTAGTTGCTGATTGGCGCAATCTCAAGGAAGTCAAATGCTGCATGTCACACATAGCTGCAATGTGAGAAGTATGAATCAACGTAAGCGAGAAATAATAAAATAGAAGGAATAAATGTTACAATAGTTGGGGTGAATGAACCAAACTACACTGGAAGTGTACATTTCAGATAACTATGAAGTGTTTTACTTTGGAATCAACAAACTCAAAAGAAATAGCTTGATACTAAGAGTGAATGGAGACTCAGCACATGCAGTTAAGGGCTCTAATGGAAAGTCTGACCAAATAATATTTGTGAGATTCGAGGGAAAATATACCAATATAACCATCATTTAAATATATGAAAGAACTGTCTAATTTTTAAAAACAATAAATGGACATTTCTAAATTAGATTAAATTTTCACAATGGGTAACATATATTACAAAGGAAATTGATGCTGTTTGTTTCTTTTTAGCTCACAATAAATCCCTAAAAGCCAACCTAGAATCCCACTATGAAATGGAAACAAGTTGATGTCCTAATACTCCACTTTACCTCACTGTCTTGAATGGTTTCTTCGCAGGTAGACAAAGCCAGGGACACACTCTCTGTACACTGTGGACACAACCACACCAGGTCCCGAAACACTTGCACCACAGCTGCAATGGACATTTGCAAAAAGACACAAAATTGTACTACCTTTTAACCACAAGAAGGACTCACAACCACAAAATTCTTTACTCTCAGAGACATGCTAAAATAAAACAATAATTATAGCTAGCAAAATTACCATATGCTGAAAGCCGGTCCAAATAAACATGTCTTAATTTGCTATCTCAGATCAAACATCCATGAAAGGAAGCAAAGCTTGGAAAATTTATTTTTTTACTCCAGCTCTCAGATAACCCAGGCAATGCCATCTGGCTATGCTGGGTGGGGTATTCTGGGGACTGTAATCCTCAGAAATAAATCTACATTCTGAGAGATACTAATCTTGGGATGTGTTTGTGGGGAAATGTACAATTAGGAAGCTACCACAGAAGATCTCCCTTTCTGTGTCCCCAACAACTATACCTCCCTTGGCGGCAGCATAAAACACATAGTTTCTAAAGATGTCCATAACTGATAGGTAGGTTTATGCAGGAAAAGGAAATCTTTCAAATAACCTGATTCTAGTAATTCAGTGCTTCATGGATGAAAAGCAGCATCTTAAATTGAGTCTGAAAACTAGTATCCATTATGATATAGTTACAAAAAAAAAAAAAGGATTGAAGAAATTTTGCCTCCAGTACTCTCCCATCATCTGTGATCTATGACCACTTTGAAGGACAGAATGCACCTGTATGAATCAGATCTGGATGCAACTGAAGCACATGTTGCAAGAATGACCATGGCTGGTACTGAAGTTGGGCAAGTGCATCCCTAACTATCGAAGCCCTGTGGCTATGTAGGAGCAACACTGGGCCAAGGACCATCCCCCAAATGCAGCCTTGGTACTGCAGAAGAGTGCATCCTCTGTAGAAAATACTTTTTCCAGTCCTGAACCAGCATTTCTACTGATTTCTTTCTTTGTCCAGATTAATCCTCAACTTTATTGGCTCATGCTGATCCATTACTGTACCAAACTATCAGTTCAGAGTTTCCTCTGAGTTCTCGGGAGAAAATCATTTCTCTGTGTCAACAAAGCCACTGTCTGAAACAATAACTTAGGTGCTGAGCAACTAGCTAGGCAGAAACAGGTTTCATCAACATCTTCTGGGTTGACTATTCCAAAGAATCAAATAAATACTGGAAGCAATCCAACTACAGCATTAACTGCTTTATAATTAAGAAGCATGACAATTAGTCTGAAAACTAGTTTATCTAATGTGTCTAATGTCTGCAATTCCATAAAAATAGGAGGAATAAAAATCAAAGAGTGATCCTACACAGGAGGCATGAATAAGAAATCTTGCAGTGAGCTAAACACAAAGCAATATTTGACATAGTTATTTCTGTACAACTCTTCATACTTCAAGGCACAAACCAAATCTCAGTTAGAAAGGCTGAGACAATCACCTGAAGTTATATGTTCTTGTTTCAGCTCAAGCAGCTCGGTTAAGATTCTCACACACTGCTCAGTGTAGGTCCTTGCAATGTTGCCTGCAAAGATCAAAACATGACACCACCTTTGTTTAGACTGCCAGAAGGATGTGTATGCAAAAAGCCCACACAACACATATTCCCTCTAATCTTGTAAACATGTGTAAGAGTGGAGTTGGCACAAGAATCTGCTTCAATCATGTCAAAATCCTGCCATTTTCTCAAACATGGGCTGTGTGTGCTCTAGTTGGTACTGTAGCATTCAAGCAGAAGTATAAAAGGTACTTCCTGAAGCACTGCTTTGCCCAAACAGGATAGCTGGCTGTACAAACTGGTCACCCCACAACAAATATAACTACATGTATTGAGCCTGACAACTGTACAGACTAGAAATAACTGGAGGATTCTTTCTATGTGCCTTGGATTGACTATATCCAATTCCTCCAAAGAGGATGCATTCTAGCTGTTTTGTAGCACCACTGATACCCATTCCTCAAATACAAGATTACTGTACCATAATGAGAGGTGTTCCCCCCCCCCCACAACAAGGAGAGAGAGAGATTGTTGGTTCCAGAGTAAAACACTCTCTCACAACATGGTAAAGCTCATGTTTAAGGTCTTTGACCTAGATTTCTAAACAGAGAAATAAATGGCGTGCACATTTCTAGGCTGATTAAGCATTGCCTTAATTGGTTACAGTGCATACAGAGCCATCAACAAACTCTGTTATTTTTCAAAGCTTGTGTCAGTACAGAAAATATAACCACATGTATCAGTTTTAAAATTGGTAAGCACATGTAAACATCAAAAAGACTAATCAAATGAAAATCTAAGAAGATTATAACTGACTTATTTAGGAAAAGGAACAGGTTTCCTAGACTAAGCTAACCAACCTTCAAAGTGAAATACAAAAACTCGGTTCTCAAGAATATCCTACCACAATTTAAACTTAAATACAGGAGCCAGCTTCATGAGTTACAACCAAGGGTATGCCACGATTTGAAAACATCCACCTTAGGAGATAGCAGTCTAGAATGCTTGCATATTTTTGTGCTGTCTTTGTTTAGCTGAATAAGGATCTCACCCCAGTGAAATTTCTGAAATTTGTTGTGGGCCAATACAGTTGTTTCCACATTTTTTTAAAAAACTAGTATATATATCTCATAGACAATAGAAAAGGAGCCGAATTTGATCTAAATGTCATTTGATTTCAATTATGTGACTAATTCTTTTTTAAAGATCCCTGAATTCTTCACTATTTGATTCAATTTTTTTTAAAGGATGATTTCAGCTGCAATCCTGAAAACACTTAGTCTCACTGAACTCAGTGGGACCTACTCCAGAATAAACACGAGATCTTAGATATTTTTGAGAACTCATGAATCACAAGATGTACCTGAAATACGAGCATAGCTCACACCAATTCTATTCAAACCTTTAGTCAAAATAGGAATGCTCTGTTTTCTGGCATGTTCAAACTTTCGCTTTAATCTTGAAGCACAATCTTTACCCTGGACAAGACTGTTAGATCCATGGATTTTAACCTTTTTTCCCCTCTCTGAAGAGATATCAGAGACAAAACTAATCCTCTGTCTTCTCGCACTGGTATCTAGTGTTGGAAAGTATCTATGACATTCTCCATAACTTTAATCACACAAGCACACACAACTCAAATATACAGTTATAAACTGCTCTGCTTGCTCACTTACCTATGGCAAAGATCGCTCCCTGTGCCAGCTCTGTTGAAACATCAGTGCAATAGTCTCTGAACTCCTCCAGTATTTGTTGCACATTCTCATCATTAACCAACTTGCACAGCACCTCCATTTTCTGGCACTTGATGTAATGTGGTTCAGAGTAAGAGCAGAAGAACTTCTTGTAATAGCTGCTGAAGTGTCCAGGGAGGCTGTCTAAGATCTGCCGCACATGACACAAAGCAGTGAAACATAGCTCTCTACTCTCGGAGGTGCAAGCTGCCAGGAGCGGGCCCTTCACTCTCACCAGTACATCTGACTGCACATGTGGAAAGTCTCTGGCCAGCACAAGGAAGAGTTTTGTGGCTGACATCACCACACTAGAGCTGCTACTCTTGAGATACCGATCCAGTAAATTAAGGATGTCAAAAAGCTCATCTTCAGAACGAGGCTTGTAGCGCAACAGAAAGGTTAATACCTCACTCTGACCCCACTGGTCCAGATCGGGCAACCTGGCAAAACAGAAAAACAAAACCAATGCAGTGGCTATATGGAAGGCTTTGGAAAAGCCTTAGGTCCTCCAATCTAATGGCCACTTTTCTCAGAAATACATATTGGTGCCTGTATTTAAAATATATGTAATAATGAAAGAGGGTCAGAATCACAGCTCTAAGGCCATGAGACTTAAACAGTGGCTGTGGCATCTGCCCAGATCATGAATATTCATATGCTATCTGCATAGACCAATGGGAGTGCTGGAGGGGCGGAGTTATGAGATACAAGAGACTCAGCAGGAGGAGGGGGAGTTTAGATAGGGAGTTAGTAGAAGAGTTGAAGAGATTGAGAATCTGGAGAGTTTTAGGAGTTTGGGCGGGAGAATGGTGGTGGAGAGTGGATGAAGGAGGATGTTTCTTTACGAGTTAACAGCACTGCTTGATCTATCATCATCTGTAACAATAAACAATTTGTATTTGGTTCTTTTAAAATGACATATGCCCTGGACCATCCATCATTAATAACAGATAACAGCCGCTCAGAGTGGTCGTATAGACCAGATGGGTGGGATACAAATCAAATAAATAAATAAATAAATAATGCTGATACAATCAACTGGTGGCAGCTGAAAGACACATAGCGTTAGCTCTCAGTTTGGTGAAACAAGCAGGGGCCATGTGGAATCGTGACAGTGGCATACATACTTAATGGTACCTGGTGTACATGCAAGTTGGGACAGGTTGGCTGATAGCTTTGGGGTGTGCATGTCAAGGATAAGAGAGGGTAAAGTGCATCTTATTTCAGTTTTGTATACGGAAATGGAACAGCCAGGAATCAAAAATATAAGTACTTCTCTCCAACTTTCTGTTGCGTACAATAAAATGTAATTACATATTTAAAGGACTGGAGAGTGAGAGTGGAAATGACCCAATAAATCAAATATTTGACAACTCCCTTTATTAGAAACAGTTTTGAAAGAAGCAAAAAGAACTTTCTGAGAACTGTCACACAGCCACACATTTAACATTTTGTAATCAATGCATCAGAAAAATCACTGCTAAAAGATTTCACATATCCAAAAGCTCATCTTTTGTAACTTATAAGCACGAATGCTTCAAGCTGCTGACAATAAGGAAGTTCCCAATATCAGATACTTGACCTATCTCAATAAACCATGCTAAAAGTGTAAGTATGTTACCTAAGGCCACAAAGAATGTGGAAGCGCACCATCTGTCTTAATAAAATATGAACACGTTTCTTTTCCAACAAAATTATCCACAAAATGGCTTACATTTTTTTCAAAAACATACATTAAAGCTTGTCCAAGCATCCTGGCACAGAGAACACACAACACATTTCCGCAACCCACATGTAAAAGAGAAACCATTTGCTACAATGGCACTTCAACGGCATGAATAGTTAATCTGCTGGGCATCTGATTTCTGTAAATGTTTATAAAAAGAAAAAGAAAAAAAGAGCACATGGCAGGATGAGATACCAAGTTTAGAGAACTGTTTTGGACAAAACATACCTGTTAAGAAGATGGTGGGCAATGGGTTTGTTGATGACAACTCCTCCCTCGTGTGCCAGGATCTCCTCTAGAGCCCTCAGACAATTCACGACTACAATAGGATCCTGATCACGAAGCAAACTGTACAGCTCGTTCACTAGCGCACCGTCTACAAAAGAGCATACAAGTCAGTATATCTAGACTTTCATTCAGCAAACATATGTCTAAGAGTGCTAGTTTTGCAGACAGTGGTCATACTGTGGTCCTACACTATGGAACAATTAGCATCGTTAAATCATTCCAATTATATGCCAGGTTTTTAAAAAATTAGGCCTCAGAATAGCATGAGCTTTTGACAAAAAATTCTGCTGACAAATAATAGGCAGCAATGAAGGGGCAAAAGGGTAAGTAATAGGAAAAATAACGGTAATAAGAAAAATAACAGTAGTGATACAGGGAATTGAAGATATGTTTTAACCCAGCAGAAAGAATTTGGAAGGAGATATCTACAGGCTTCAGAAGAACATGTACTCAATGAAATTTTATTAGGCACTTATGCTCTGGTTTTCGCATTGATTCAAAATGATGTGCCCCTACATTTATTCTAGTGTTAGGGTTAGGAGTTGAATACAAAACATGCTTATTTACCCACTTCACAGTCTCCTTGGAGCTTCTGCATCTTTGCACATCCAAGAACAGCTACTCTCCTCACATAGGAGGCTTTGTCTCGCAGGCCACTCAGGATCGGCTGTTGGATATACTCCTGTATTCCAGGCATCCTGAGAATATCATAGCCTGGTCAGACCCTTCCTGCACCTTTCTTAATATATCTGGTCACTCTGTCATCTGCTGTTTTGTTCACGAGTAAACTGAAGCATCTTTTGTGGCTGCTATTTTCAGATAAATATCCAAAGAGGCAGGCAGATGACAAACCAACTCCCATTCTGTACACAGACCACTTTAAACTGGAACTACTACTAAGAGAAATGGTCATCACAAAATGCTCTTCTCACCTCCTTTTTCACATTGCCTTTATGGAAAAATGAATAAACAAGTGTTCTGCTGGTCCACGCGGGCAGGGGGAGTGTAGAAATAGAATACACAGTTGGGTAATGTTTTTATTAAACCTCACAAAGCATTAACCAATAAGTTTTTAATTTGTTCAAATAGCACAAAGTCTTTCCTCACTTGTGTTTCTAGCAGAGTGGACTAAAATCAATGATTTTTTATTTAAATAGGATTTATTTTGGAGGAAAAAATCTATCTAAAAATAGTTTTCTATTTAAGATACTTTATAGTTCAAAGGTTATTCAGCGTGAAATAGAGCTTAGTTATGTAGCATGAGGCTGTATATTCATGCAATATTTACATTTTTTTGTAAACTAATTCAATTAATTGAAGTTATGCAAGCTGAGATAACATGCACTTTTTCACAGTAAAAATCTTATAACAAACTTAGAAAAGACTTTAATCCCATTGTTGTTCTGCAAAGCTATGTACAAATAATGGACGCATTATAGTAGGACTGCGGTATGCGCGGGGGATTGATTCCAAGCCTCTCCACAGATGCTGAAAAACGTAGATGTAGTGAACGCTAGACACTGCATGGTCTCTAGATCCCTCTAGTGGCCAGTTCTGGTAAATGTACTTTCCTTTTATTAGATTTTTAACCCCCCCCCCAACAAAGTCTACTGGGGGGGCTTACATACATAATAAAAACATCACAGTAACAACATCATAAAACATTTAAACATCAAATTTTAACAATTATATATACCCTGGAAATACATGTAAATATATATTTTGGAGGAGAAATATTTAGCATTTTCAGACAGCGGATAAGTGAATCAACAGGTTCTGATTCTGCAGATAGAGTGATTAACCTATTAAACTAAAATCAGTTTTGATACAGCTGTTTTACTAATCTGACAGGCTATTATTCTAAATATGAAATCTTAATCTGGTTGCAAATATTAAAGATTATATACCAGCAAGAATGAGTCTTTATATTTTAAAAACCATGATCTAAATTGAATCTTACTGACTAGCGATTTAAATTATGATTTACATTGACTTGATTTAAATCAAATCCAGCCTGCTAGTGAAGGCCAAGCCAAGCAGCACTGCTCTGTTTCCAAAAGCAAGAGTGCTCTTACCTGAGACTGCACATGCTACGGAGAGCCATGCCCCTAACCATAGGGTTCGGGTCTGAACAGTCTTTGCACAGAGTGTTGATAGCTAGAAGAGCCAGGTCTGGTTTCAGTGGTGCATAATTGCACATATATAGATAAACCAGCTTCTTCTGAACAATGTCGACAGTGGCGCTAGCTTTAACCATTTCCATAAAGACACCAGAAACATCTATGCCTTGTGTCATATGCCTAAAAGCAAAAGATAAACACATTTTTATAATAGTACTGAAAGTTAAATATTATTTTACCTAAAAGTCGTACGTAGTGGGAGGATTTCTATGACATGCCATATTTTTTTCTGAAACCTATGTTTGAGTTTATGGGTAACTTTGAACATGTTTATGAGTAATCTGGTTAGAAAGGCCAGATTACTCATAAATAGACATGGGGATGAATATAAAAACGAATCAGGTTATTCGTCAAATATCCCTGATTCATCAGATATTTGTTGCTTCATATTCTTGGGGTCCAGGGGCGTGGTGGCACTGTGGGTTAAACCACAGAAGTCTCTGTGCTGCAGGGTCAGAAGACCAACCGTTGTAAGATTGAATCCATGCGACTGAGTGAACTCCCGTCACTTTGTCCCAGCTCCTGCCAACCTAGCAGTTCGAAAGCATGTAAATGCAATTAGATAAATAGGTACCACCTCGGTGGGAAGGTAACGGCGTTCCGTGTCTAGTCACGCTGGCCACATGACCACAGAAACTGTCTACGGACAAATGTTGGCTCTACGGCTTGGAGATGGGGATGAGCACCACCCCCTAGAGTCAGACACGGCTGGACTAAATGTCAAGGGGAACCTTCACCTTTACCTTATGCAGAATGCAGTATATCTGAACAAGGACAAGAACTGTATTATGCACTGCAAGAGAAAGGGATGTACCAGATCTGGCTCAAAATAGGATTTCCAGTTGCTGAGACCTCTTCCAGTGCTCTGCATATCAACCTCTCCCTTTTTATGACTACCGTGTTTCCCCGAAAATAAGCCCTACCCCGAAAATAAGCCCTAGTTAAATGAAACCCTGCCCTCCACCAGGGACTCACTGGGATTGTCCCAAACCCTCAAGAGAGACTTAAAACATCTTCCCCTCCTCTCCCACTTCCCTTGGTCGCGGAGGGGCTGGGCAGCCAGGGAGGAAAGAGCTGTGCACCGCCAGAAACTCATTCCTTGGCTCCTAAGTTCCCAACAGCTCTTGCACCTCGCACCTCTGCAGTGTACGGACTTCCCCTCCCCTCCAGT